TCTCTCTCTCTCTCTCTCTCTCTCTTTCTCTCTCTCTTTCTCTGTCCCTCTCTCTCTATCTCTCTCTCTCTCTTTTCTCTCTCTATCTCTCTCTTTTTCTCTCTCTCATTCTCACTCGCTATTTCTTCAGTCTTACAGTCTGGCATACACATAATATTATATCACAGTACATCATTATGACAGGTATGCTTTTGTGAATAAAAAATGCTTCGGCTGATTTTTGAAAATGGAAATTGTTGGGACAGATCTTATCTTATATGGGAGTTTAGGTCTGTGTTGTTTGAAGCTGAATTGAAGAGATGCTGCTGCTTTATGAAACTCATTTTTCCAAAGCAACTGAGCAGTTTGGTACAATTTTGGGGATTTGCATCCCGAGGGTGCTGTGTTTTATATTATTATGACCACTATGTGTGTTTTTAGCTGACTTTTTTTTTATATAGTTCAAAGATAGACAAGTTGGTTCACTTGTTCTGGTGGACTTTGTAATCAGATAGTATACTGTCAGCCACTCTGAACTTTGGGTAAAATTTTACTTTTGCATCTACACACAAGAGGCTAAACTGATTTTTTTTTTTTGCTGCTGAACACGCATATTTATGGCCACTGAAACCATCACAAATCAATTGTTTTCAAGAAAATATCAAACCTAATTACTAAACATCAAATTTAAGGTAATATACAGGGAGGCATGCGCATGAAATCCCTCAGTTTGTTGCAAAAAGTGAAATATATAAAAATGAACAAGAAAAGTGCTATAGAATATCTGAACATAAGACAGGTACTAAGTAATTATATAATACCAAACTTTGTAGCCTGTCCCATGAAGATTTTTTTTTCTCCTCAGTGCTCAGTTTCCAAATATGAATTGACATTTTACACACTTATTCTTCTTTTTTCCCATAGTGTTTGTCCTACAGGGCATGGACTATGTTCCTTTCCATCGGCAAACATCACTTTTTGGAACCAAGATGGGACTAGAAAAGAGGTTTGTTTATCCTTTCTTTAAGGCACCACAACAAGGAAGGGGGGTGCAGTTATAATTATTGTCCCAATTTATAGTCAAACGCCGTACACTGAAATATTTATTTTGGCACTTTCTTTTGCTATAACTTTTAATTCCTTTGTAAATACAAAAGTCTCTGCCTAAGGTCCCCCTGCTTACAATCCCAGTTTGCTTAAGATCCCGCTGTTTTGAGAAATCAGAATTTTTACTATACAAAAGCTCTGATTCACTTTGAAGTTCTACATTCGGCTAAGATCCTGCATTTCAGCTCATAATTTAATAAATTTTTGGAACAAAAACCAGGGCGGGCACCGCCGATCAATCAAAAGTGAAAAGTTGAGATCATTAAACTGCCCCACATGTCAAAAATCAGCCGCTCTTGTGAATGTGATCACATTGAAACGGTACAATGTTTGCTCCGACGGGACCACACCGAAGTGTGAACTGACTAACGCAGTTGTTTTCCCCAAACATCGCACTTGCATCTGAGCTTTCCAACTAAACTTATATCACTCGCTGGGTGGGCAGGGCCTACAAGTTCGCTCCAGGCGGGATCACATTGAACTGTAAACTCTTCCTAGATCATTGCAGCTGTTACCCCTTCTCCCGAATTTGCGAGACAAACTTAATTTTGATTGGTGTGGTAACAGCATAATGATGCATAACGACAAAAGTGAGGGAACTCAGTCAGAGATGGAGAGTTATAAACTTAAGACAGGTTTAAAGGGGAGGGACAATTGTATCAGCGTAGATCTTGAGGCCCACGACAGGATAATAAGTGGAAATGGCATGCCTCATGTCACTGTGATTGGTCATCAAGGTTTTGCAATCTTTGCTCACCATAAGTCAGAAACCCACCCAGGGGTCACATCAGTTCATTTTAGAAGGGAGAGAAACCATTTTACTGGTTGTGGGCCTTAACATGGGTCACCGTAGGTTCTTTCTTTGGTGCATCGGCTAAGATCCTGTTCACCTAAGATCCCGCATATTCCCTGCTCCCGAGCACCGGGATCTTAAGTGGAGACTACTGTATAACTTTTATGCATTTAGGCGGAGCTTTACTTGCTCTTTCTTTCAAGGTCTTGCTCTTTGTCAATGCTCATTCAATTTCATTAATCAAGCATATTATAATTCTGCTTGGAGAGCTTGCACTCCCTGGTTTCAATAAAATGTCTAAAATCTTTGACTGTTCTTGTTTGGTTTGTTGAATCTTCAATCTACTTATGTAGTTTGATTGAGGTTTGTGTCTGGGGGGGTTTTCACATACCCCTCTTTCTTTTCCTTAGTTTAATTATTTTCTTGAATTATTTCTTTAATATAGTCAATATCTTATTGTCGCTATGCTAGCAAATTGTAATCAGAGTGTTGCCAAAATGCAACTCGCCTTTAATTTTGTTTGGTGGTACTAAATCTAATATCTCTGTTTTGGTAAAATCAAAACAAAAATGCAGTGGCCGTTAGAAAAGAAAAATGCATGTCAATTTTTAACGTTATAAGATGATATATAGTCAAGTTAAACAGTTTCTTCCCTTTATCTGAAAAGTGGAAAAATTAGCTGTATATCCAGGATCCATCTATGTTTTCTGCAACATGTCTGAAAAATATCAGCTTTCCGCTGTCTTTGTGTTGTGCAAAAACATGAAATGACCTTGTGTGACTGGTGGGGTTTTCCTGTGTAATAAAACCAAGTTACCCTGTTAGTTTCCTCCTCCCACGTAAGTTCTTTTTACCCAAAAATGATATGATAAGAATCGTTGAAATGAGAGTGACAGGGGACTACTAACCTTTTTAAAAAATCAAGAACATCCATCTTTATTTATTTTTTTAAAAATTAGATTCTTGGAGCTGGGCAGTATTATCGTGTGGTTCTGGACTTGGATATGCCAGACACACCAACAAACAGGAACTTGGGTGAGTTCGTGGCCGTAATGCTTTTGTTCCATAGTTTCCTTCATTGGCGGTCTGAATGTGATCGCTTTGGTTATAAAAAGAATTTGTTTGCACAGAGCAGTAGTTGAAGGTTTCTTTTTATCTCTGGGATGTTTGCATTTAAAATTAGTCATTTCTGTTGTTCATTTTAATGTAAAAGCATTTGAAACTGTAGATTTTAAAGCTGAAGTCTTGTACTTGTTGTTACAGTTACTTTGAGAGCTGCAGACACCACCAGCTTTTGCATTGTCTGTATATGTAGGCAGCTCTAGTGACTGCTGCATGAGAATGCTTAGAATCAATTTTTTATGTTGTCAGCATTTTATTGAAAATATTTTTGTGCTGGTCTCCCTTTGATCTTAAAATCGAAAGCCACTTTTCATACTAATTGGATTTACCTTCAACTTGCTACTTTCATGGTCCAAATCATTTGTCAGAGCCTGGAGTAAATTTTTAAGATAGCATTTCCCTGATTTTGTTCAAATTTTCTTCTCTCGTAATGGTAGATATTTGCCTGTGAGATGAAGTGCCTCAAAAAATTAATCAGTATCACAAGGAAAGAGTGCGGAATGAACTAAACTGTTTTGTAAATCAATAGTACAGTGGAGTCCACTTATAACGAGTCCGGAAAAAACGAGAAGTCTGTTATAAAGACACTATTCTTAAACCCCGTTTTTTCTCCTCTTTATCTTTGTAAATAAAATACTGCTATAGCGCTATCAGACAAACACGCGAGTCGGTTATAGCGGAATATTGCTGCTGCTGTGCACAGTGCATAGGCCAATTATACATTATGTAAAACCTCACCAGTTGAGAAACTTGTTGCTGATCTTGCGAAACAAAGAATAGGAGAGCCCATGTGTGTCAACAATGAAGGCCAGAGCAATTGAGTAGGGAGGATGTGGCGTGCGCAGACAAGCAGAGCGCATCGCGAGATAGGCCAGTTTAGATTATCAAGGCCTGCCATGCCTCTCACTTCTCCGATGCGGGGTTGGAGAGGTCACAGCAATGTGATGGATGGAGCGAATGTGGGACAGGCGCAAGCAGACAGAATGCACAACAGGGTGGGGTGGGGTGGGGGGGAAACACAGCGGGCGAGTTAGCCCAGAGCCCTTTCTTTCTGATCGCCAACGCTGAGCTGTCAGTCCACATCGCTAGATCTCGCGCTAGAATGAAACAAAATCATCATCAGGGGAGATAGCAAAAGGAAAAACAGAACCCCAAACTCATAGAATAGGCCTACTTTACAGTTTCCCTAGAATTTATTACTGGATCCCTTTTTAGCGAGAATCCTGCTATAACGGACATTTTGCTTCGGTCCCCTCCCTCTCGTTATAACAGGATTCCACTGTAGTGGAGTGTGTTGAACATCAAAAAGTTAAGTGATTCGGTCACCTGATGAGATTGCCTCCCAATCAAACTAGCTGCACAAGCATACAATGCAAGAGAATCAGGTTATAAAGGTATGCGTAGACCATGAAGACCTGGCTGGATGGTATCAAAGAGGTACTCCTACAGAATAATATCGCTACAAAGGAAGCCATTCATCTAGCCTTGGACAGAAAATTTCATTTGCTTTTGACATCTATCGATGCAAGAGGAAGGAAAAGGTGGAGTAAAGTAAAATAGATTAAAGGTAGACTATTGTGTAAGATATGCCACGTGGGTCAATTTACTTTTAAGCTAAGTCTGACGTAAGCTAATACGATATCACACTGACGTTGTGTTCTATTTAGAAGGACTGTTTGCTTCAGAACTGTATGAAACAAGTGTTCTATTTTCTCATGCTATCTTCAAGTACGGTATGTAGAGGAAGTACTTTATTTGTAGTCTATTTCTCATTTTTACTGTTCTGCTTGGCCCAGGTATGTTCCAGGTGATGATGCAGATGTATGACCGAGACGGCTACATTTCTGCAGAGTCAAAGCGCACTGTGAGTACTGTAACTGTAACGACGTGATGTACCGCTTCTGTTTTGGACAGTTAAAAGAGTCTTTGTACTCTGTTAGAAGAATAAACATCAGCTTAAGATAAGTTTGTTAAGGGATTGTAAACTGCGACCCTTCCGGTCAAAATCAGTCATATAAAGGAAATTTCAAAATTTATTTAACATAGTTTCCAAATACTATCACTATTTCAATACAGTTTGAAAAAAAATGAAGTAAATAAGACAATATTTGAAGAAAATATGGAACTTTTAAGTATGCAAGGTGTGGAAACACGAAAAGGAGAAAACTGGCTCTGAAGTTGTGCAACATGTTTCCATAGCAACAGGGGTCTTAGAATTGAGATAGAGTCTTGAAATTTAGCAGTTATCTTGGCTATGCAACTACAAGGTAATACACAGAAGTCGAAGACATTTACAGAAAAAAAGCTTAAGGACAAAACAAAATTTTAATGAGAATAGTTTTCACGTCAGATGCAACAAATGGTAAGCATTGTAGACCCTACTAGGTACCAGAAACTAGATTTTCAAAGTAGCTGTATGTCAAATTTGTCTGTTCCGTATGAAAGGCCTGTGTCTTCTGTGAATTTGTAGTTGTTGTTGTTAGCGATCTAGTAGCATCTGAGCGTTAACTCTTCTGCATGATGCCATTCTGTAATAAATTTCTAATTGTAATGTTGTCTTGAGGAGTGGAGGCAGTTAGATGTGTGGGGTAGCTTGGGAAGAAAACATCCCCTTAAATCAGAGTTTTCTACAGAAGAACAGATTATGTTCCACTGTCTCCGAGGGGTAGTCACATAATAGTGGGCAGGCAGCAGACTGCTTTACTGCAATTCGGTTGAGATGTTGATTGAGGGGTAGATGTTGTGGTCTAAGTTGGAAGATTATGGATTGATCTCCCCTCCTTAACTCATTGATTGGATCTGTGACCAGTGGCTTATTCATGTGGCCATACATCATCCTTCCTGTCGTACCTGTGGCCCAATCGTTCATCCAGTCTTCCTTGAGGTTTGACTTAATCATTTGGCAGCAGGTGGTGTAATCAGTAGGAGTATCAGGCTGAGGGAGGCTAGCTCCTTTCTTTGCTAGAGCATCAGCTCTTTTATTTTATTTCCCGGTATCCCAGTGTGGGCAGGAATCCATTGTGGGACTAGTCTGATCTGGTGCCTACTTATCAAATTATGTAGACTCCAAATCAAGTGTGATATATCTTTGTTCACATCAGTCCCACTCTCAAGTGTCTCTAGTGTTGAAAGGCTGTCTGTAAAGATATAACATATATCTGTGGTAGCAAATAGGTTAGTGTCAAACAAGTAGTTGATGTAGTTTGCTGTCTTGGTGATAGCCTGTTGTTCGGCAATTAAATTGGAGGAGAAGGAACCACTGGCTGTGAATTTTGATACCATACTTTTACCTCTCGGTCAATTTTTTAGAAAATGGCGGCTGTTTAAATTTAATAAATAATCGAATATTGCTGAAATCGCTAATTGGCTGCATCCCCATGTTTGACAGATAATAAAAGAGTACCAAGTGCACCAAACATCTCCACATTAACAGAGTACAATCACTATAACATAGAATTGGAGCCTAATTTTTTCAAACTGTGAGATCATTACAAATCAGTATTTTATTGCCTCAAACACGATGATCTGTCATTATTTCGATTTTAAAAAACTCCGAGCTTTGACCCGGCTGGCACTGCACCGGTCCCCACGGTGAGCGAATCTGCTCTAACTGTAGTGTAATGAGTGCTCCCCGAAGTTCCACGGAAGGATTGATGCAAAACAATTTCAAGCCGATGACTTTATTCTAATAGAAAAAGAACTGTTTTTTCTATTGGTACCTTTTTTTAGTCGGTATTTTACATAATTCGTGTTAAAAATGATCCTTGAAAACTTGCACACTTTTTAAAGGCTTTCTATTTAAACGCCAAAGGCCAAAAATATACCACGCGAAGCCCCATTCAGAACTCTAAAGAAGTTGTTTGCCGATGAAAAGCCGGTATTTAATCATCTTTCTTTCTTCAAACTAACAAATTACGCTATTGTAACGAAAAATGCTTAAGACTTTTTCAAGGTGTACAGCATTTGATGTGTTATAGCGAAAGAGCAAAGAAAAAGGGATCTGAATTACCTCGATTTCACCAAAACCATGTGCTCAGATGTCTACGAGTCGGCTTACATGCCGTGTTTACGCTTCCTAATTATACGTTTGCAATAGCACTATGAACACACGAGCGCACACACACATACACACACACACATGCACACACAAATACACACATACACAAACATACACACACACATTCACATTGACCGCTTCTGTGGCTACTTGGTAAGGAGTCCACCTTGGGAGATCTAGAGGAAGATCAATCTTTAAAAAATACCCACTAAAACACAATAAAAATGAACTTTTAAAGTCAATTGAAGTGTAAAACTGAAAGATCAACAGCCCATAACTGAGCAAGCAGGGCACGCTTACACAGTCAGCTGTTTACGTAAACAAGCTTGATGTGGGCTAGGAGTTACCGTACTTACTTCGTTTAACCGATCAGAGCCTTCAGCCGTTCATAGTGACGTTACGTTGTTTATATTTCAGACCGTTCATGCTTGAAAAGGGGTCTAAATCTAAAAAGAGGGGTGAATGAAGGACGCTGAAGCAATGTGGCCATGAGATAATGGTTCTATAAATAACCCCACAGCTACACACCAGCAGGTCAAATATTCGAAAGGGTTTGAGGTCCAAATTCCTTTATCTTGTCAACCAAGCTCTCAACAAACCACACACACACACCTCCAAAATAAATCAAAATAAAATATTTATAGTCGACTATAGTTGTTTATTTTGATCTTAAATGAAGCAGAAGACTTTAAATTTTCAATAGATCCAAAAAACAAAAAATTCATGGAAAGTCACTTTTTAGCCTTTTTGAGCCTCGTACTTCCAAATAGCACATTGTGTCTTATGACTGATTATGACCGGGGTGGACAGAACTATTCTTACTCCTTTAGAAGAAACTGGTAGTGTGCTTTCAGTATTTAGCTATGCAAGAATATAATTGGTATTTTTTATGCATACATTTGAACACACATATTCTCATGTCCTCTCTCTCTCTCTGTTTCTCTTCCACTGTAAATGTACTCACAAAGTGATAGAATAATAGACTGATCATGAAGATGTAAAGGACAAAATTCATATAGATAAAAAAAAGATTATCAAAACAAAGTAATTATCATAAATGACACCTTGAAGGCAAGGAAGATTTTATAGCAATGTTAACTGCTTTGCATGGCTAAGGTACAAAAAGGAAGGAAGGTCTTCTATAGACTTTTTACTTTTTGTATGTTAGAAGTTCACTTTTGAAGATTTCATGCGGACATAATTTCTTAGGGTTAGTCACATAGTGGTTATTTGTAGTGTGTGACCTATAATTGCAAAGATCTTTATTCATTAATGGTCTTCTAAAGTCATAGCTTTTTGTATGTCTATTCGTGATAAAGATTTTTTGTAGGTGGTTGATGGGTGCTCTGGTGTGGTTTGCTCCTTCTTTCCTATAAAAAATCTATCATCTCTATCTCCCCTCCTTCTTTTTTGTGTTTGTTACTCTCTTGTAACACCTCTAATCTTCGACACTTATATGACCTTATTGTGTTGCAAGTGCCGTATAACTCTTACTAAAACTAAATTTTTTTTTTTAACATGAAATTATCTGATATTTGTAGAGATGAATGTGTCTATCTTCAGGCAATGCCCAAGTACAGATCACTGGTGATGAGGATGTTGGACGTGTTTGTACTCAGCCCTTTCTACTTCTTTGAGTTGATGGAACAGAAACAATTGCTGGATGTGGAGTTATTTTCTTACTTTGTGGATGATTATGTATGTATTTAGTCTAGGTTGTAATGTTATGGGGGGGGGGGGGGGGGGGTAAAATTACTATTTAAACAGTTGTGGTTAGTTAAAAATTAATAAAAATACATGGTTGTTAAAAAAGAGTGCTTGTCTTCCAATATATGTTTTAGGCATGCTTTTTGAAGCTAGTATAAGGGCTGGAAAAAATCATGTTGAGTTAAGAACAGGATGAGGGACTGTGACAAGTCGTCGCCCTGCTCTGTCACAAACATATTTCTTTCAGAGTCGGTGGCTGTTCAAAGGAAAGGAGGGTTGTAATTGTGTAGTGACTGTTGCCCTACAATGTTTTTACTTTTATATCACAGTATCACCCTTCTGTTGGAGCCAAGATTGAAATCCAGAGTCACATGATACAGTTTTACTCAGCAAGGTTGAAGTTCTTTGCAAATTTCTCTGGACTCAAGTGAGTGTGGAATTGTAGTGTGAAATCTGTTGGAGCAAATAATTAATCAAAGTGATGCATTTTGCATAACTGTAGTGAATTTTGATCTGTTCTTTGAGAGTGCCTCAATGTCAGGTTTGGTTTTAAATCAGAGCTCTGGAATCAACTTTAACTTTAGGTTTTTGTTTGAAAAGTTAATTCCTTTCTCAGTGACCATATTGAGAGTCGCATGTTACAGGTCTTGTAGTCTTTATCAATACTGCAACTTGAAAGACATCTAAAACAAGAAGGAATTATGTTTACTTGTAAAGTGCTCTTGTTTTCCCAGTTGTATTTTAGGCTTAGTGGGATCAATGTTGCTTGAATGTCACTTGAAAGATTTTAATGATTTTAGTTGAATTTTGTGTCAGTTTAGAAACAGGAAAATGTATAATATATAGTGCTGTTTCCTGTTTTATTTTTTCTAAGGATTTTAGTTGAACTTAATCTCAGCACAGAAATAGAAATGTTCCAATTTTCTGTTCTAATTTTTCTACAGTGAAACTAGAAAATTATGTATTATCTTTGTTCAAATTCTAACCTTTTCTCATCAGATTATAAGGTGCTTTGTTTAAAAAATATATAATATCCTTAAAATATAATCTATTCTTGACAGATACATCCTTTACTACTGGCCAATGATGAGTGCACTGGGTGGCATCCTCTACAATGCCATGATCATCACAGCTTTCCTCCTGCTTGCCATATACAAGAAAGCGGAGACACTACGGGTCATTTCCCAAACCCTGGAGCTGGAAGCGATGCAGGGGGGAAATCAGAGGAGGCAGGATGAGAACATGAGTGAGGAGGTTGTTGAGGCAGAAGTTTCAAGCAGCAGTAGAAATGATGAGGACAAGGAATCACTGGATGAAAGTAAGAGTAAGACATGTTGATTTTATTAGCTCATCATTGTCAAGCGGTGAATTTACTAGTTGTTAGTAGTTACTTTGCTAATAGTCACTTTCTTGGAACAATGGTTCAAAAATGTCTATTGTGCAAGTGTCAGAAACAGATCCGCCGTAAAACAACTGATTTTGCTTGAAACTGATGGAAGCAAAGCAAACACATTATACGCCCCTTTCTTTCTTGAAATTTTGGCTTTGTAAGGAGTAAAAAGACATAGGGACATGGTGTGAGACAGAATTGTATAATGAAGAAAGCCAAAGACCAGCCATGCATGGAGGGCGGACTATGTCAAAGGGCTGTGTGGTGATTATGATGGTCATTGTCTGTAATCACTCAGCATAGGAAAACTTCACACCTCGAGGCCAGCTCAGTTGAACAAAGGAACTCAACCACATGTAATCAGATGGGATGTGGTTCACATCAGTCATAGAAATTTGACAAAATACTGTCTAACCTGTTGAAGATGGAATTGCAAATAAGGGAACCTAATAAAAATTCCATCTTGAGTTTTAGACATTTTCCGTCTCAAGGTAGGGGGTCCAGAGAGCCAGCTGTGCACAGTGGGACCAAGGGTTGCCTGTCTAGTGTGCAAGCAGTGGTAAAAACTTCACACCTCCCAAGTGCTATCCTAGCCGCTCTGATAATGGCATGTGTCAGTTTTACTAATCCCTTGCTGTCAGTGTTACTAATCCATTGCCATCAGTGTTTGTATCTCATTAGGACAGCTGTTTGACTAATTAAAGACAGAAACGATTGAATGTTCCTTTGCTTCCACATTTGGCCCCACCAATGTAATAAGCACAATCAACAATGGCACCCCTCCCCTGCACAAAACAACATTTCATGGAACTTGATTCTTAGCTGGCCATATGACCAGGGGGCAGGCAGTGGTCAAATTTCACACCTCTGGCTTCCAAAGAAAGTTTACATGCTGGGGCGACACTTTACCACTTTATAGACAGGCAGTGGTGAGATTTCACACCCACACCATCTTGATCATCTGCACCACTTGGGAGATCACATGGACGGGGTAACAGCTACCCACAAACCTCACCCCTTCCCCCGTTGTTCCCTTCTTCACCTGGCAATGTGGTGTAAAGATTAGAGCTGATGGAACTTAATTTGGAAGTTATGTTTCAAGTAAGGCTGGGAGATTTCTTAATGACATGTTTCCACCTTGGACAGACTTCTGTTATATGGCAGGTTCGACTGTACTTACTAGATAGTTCTCGTTCAACATTTGCAAAAGAGCTCATTTTTCTCCTCACCTGATGAGTGAGCTATTAGCCAGAGACCTCTATATGTGAGAGTCAGATTTTTTTTTTAATGAATGAATCAGTATGAATAATATTTTTTCATAATGAATGAACTTCAGTTAACTTGGCTCCCCTTTGTAGTTCACAGATAGTATTATATCTTGATGCTGACAGTGACACCTAGATGTTAAAATCACATTGCTACTGTCATTTTTTTTTTTACCTTATGCTTGTAACTGTAGTGCAGATGAATCTTGTCTAATTGATCTCTGATAAAGTTTCTCTAGCTGTCCTGTTAAAAAATTGAGTACCTCTGTCACTGTGCCTTTTTTCTTTTTCTTTGTTAGCAAAAACTTTTTTGTCAACCTCACTGGCTGACTCAACAAGCAACTGTGAATATTTTTCTTTGTTTTCTCCACAATGACAATTTCTATAATGCACCAGTTGTGGGGAGTAGAAACATTAAAAAGTATGGTCTAATTGTGTCATACTGCTTTTGAATTATTTCAAATTGTTCTCGTAACAAATTCTACATAGCAAACTGCACATGGCCAAAATCATATTAACTGGAAATAGACTCTGTACTTGGGCTTCTGAGTGTAAAGTGAACAGTCTGTCACAGCTGAGCTGATGATCTTCTGTGTTGTCCTGAACCTCCCACAATTCTCTCCTGCAGGCAATCAAACGAAGTCAACCGATCAAGATGACGCTGACCTCGATCTCTATGACCTCCCTATTGTGCAGGAACCAGCAGATTTTTTACAAGCTGAAGATGAACAAAATGTGGATTTTGTGGCCGAACTGAGGCATAGAAGGATCAATTAGTCACGCGTTGGAGAGGAAATATGTTTTTATCTGTATTAAATCTTTGTTTCCACACTTTACCCAGAAGTAAGTTTTCTCTTCCAGTTGTAACGGAGAGTGTATGGCTAAAAGAGATGGGAGGGTGGGGAGATTTTTTATTTCTTTAAACTAGTGGGGGGGGGGGGGTTTACAAATGCTCAGTAGTCTTAAGAAAAATTAAATGGAATTTTGGTATTTGCTAGCCATAATCATTACCATCATCATCATTAAAGTTTGGTGTCGAGAAAAAAAACCCAGCCCTTTATTTTCTCTGTAACTTTTGAACCAGCCTATTGTGGTATTATTATGGTCTTGGATAGCTTTTATCCCAATTCGTACTTACTGATGTTCACCACATGAAGTTAACGGCTGTCTTAATAGGGCTTATACCTGTTGCTGTTGTACAGAGTCAGCGATGCCGTATTGTGTCGAGTTAGTGCGGACTAGTGCATGTTGCTTTGGGCGTTGGGTCTCTAAAGCAAGGTTGGGTTAATTGTGAAATGAGAGAAAACCACAGGAGTTTCAGTTTTGAGACAGTGCGATCCAAAATCCGTGGATACATGTACAAACTTTGATGCCTCTGTAACTGTTGACAGCCCTTTAAGATATATTGCATAATCTGAAGTTAAATGTAAAGAACAGAGCTTTGCTTCATTCGTCTTACTCTTTCAACCATCTCTAGTCTTTATATATAAAAATTGACTTTTAGATAGCGGATGAATTTTTTGGTCTGCTAAGTTTTTAATCAAGCAATTGGTGAAATTTCAGTAGCCAGTTGGTGACCTTTGATGCCTACTTTAGACCTGTTTTGTTACCAGTTGAGGACTGAATTAAATGTGTAAGCAGTTCTTTTTAAGTAAAGAATACCTATACTGAATACTGGTCAGACTGGTCTCAGCCCTTTGATTTATCAAGATTATTATAGATTTCAGGAACCCAGTTTTTGTTTGCAATAATAGGTCAGTGAGAATAATGAGATCTCAGTTACCAGGTTTCAGGCAATCATTATAATAAATGTTACTACAATCTTTCTAGCATGTCTCAATTTTTTGGAAGTCCACATTAATTTTCCAAGTTGCTGACCATATAATTTATTTTTGGCAATTTCTGAGAGTATTTAGAGGGTTTTGTTTCTGTGAAGTCCAGTGCTTTAAGTGATCATGTTGATAAGCAAAGATGATCTATAGTATTTATATTTGCTGCATTGAACTTCTTTTTGTTAAATCTTTAGCCTCCAGGCTTTGGTTGACCTACTCTATCTGTCTGACTATTGATTTCTCTCCCTCCTGACCTCATCTCTCTTTCCATTTATTTTGATTCCTGTAAAATTATTGTTATCTAAGACATGTCTAAGTAACTACTCTGCTTGCCATGTAATTTTTCTGTTGTTGTCAAGTGCAAGTTTTGAATTTGTTTTGTCCACTTCTTGTGTGCCATTTTTTTTTTTTAATTGTTGATGAAACTGAGGCAGGGAGCCTATTTTGTTGGGTTTTCTTTTTTGACATAACTTTCAGAATATAATTGTTAACTATAGCATGGGACTCCTTATTTCTTCATCGTCACTATGGTTTGCATAGGGGTCCTCCTAGTCTTATACTATATCATATTTTACTTGTTTAGACCTACTAGTTTTCTGAACTGCTGAGTATTATATCAAGAATTATGTTATTACACAATACAACACCATATCTACACTCTTGCTATTGTATTGGAAAAGTTAATATGTTTCGTATCGGTTGCCATGTTTCACATCTTGTCATTTTTTTACACATTGAAGTTGACCTTGAAATATTATAAACAGTATAATTTATTTTTCAAGCAAAACACATCGTTAGGCCGAGCATGTCATTTTGGAAAGTAGAACATTTTGAACTTTGTACTTTGATCTATCCATGACCTTCACATACTCCTGTGCATTAGTCAGTGTGATAACAATGCCACAGCCGCCTCACCTCAATAAGTACTTGGCCAGATGTGTTCATTTCTCCATCAATTGAAGGAGATAATTGGCACGAAATAAGGTAAAAAAAAAATAACTTTCAACAAGTCAAAAGCAAAAGTTTTGAGTGAGTTTTTATTTGGCCAAGACTTTTTTAAAAGCCCGTACAGTAGAACACGGCTATAGCGGGACATTTGGTTCCTGAAGCAAAATCCCGCTGTAGACAAGTTCCTGCTATAGGAATGCAATGGGGAAATTACCAAAAAATGTATTTAAATCCACACGATTACCTCCCTTCTATATCAATAAAATGTGCACTTTGAATTTTTTTCTTATTTTTTCTTGTCAACTTCATTGATTATCTCGGACTTTAATTCAAGTGAGAAGGATTTTCTTTGTTGGAAGCCATCTTTTCCTCGGTCTTGTTGCTTGTGCTGTCTATCGTACCGTCAGGCCTGCTGTAGAACTGGTGAAGTGGATGCGTACGTATGCCTATATGAGCATCAAAGATCACAATTCAATGAATCCCGGTGGGTGGTTGGCGGGTGCTCTAGTGTGGTTTGCTTCTTTTCTATCAAACATCTATCGCCTTCATCTCCCCTCCTTCTTTTTTGTGTTTGTTACTCTCTTGTAACACCTCTAATCTTCGGCACTTATATATATATGACCTTATTGTGTTGCAAGTGCCGTAAAACACTAAAACTAAATGAATCCGGAATAGCACACTACAGGCTCTCCTCTTCTTTTACTCTTTGACCTAGCCTAGGCTTAGGGCTCTCGTCTATATGCTCTCATACTCAGCATCTAAACTACACACATCCCTTTTGAAGTGGCTCAAGTAACGCGTCTCTCTGCACCATCTCTCACTCTGCCGCCTGCCCCACCTCACTCATCACCGGACTGGCCAATCAAAACGTCGCACCTCAGACTGCCTGTTTGGAGCCCGCCTACAGCCCCCAACCCCCTTCCCCCAATTAGAGCTCGCTCGATCTCTCCCGCTGTATACGAGTTCCGGCCTCTCCTTGCCCCGATAAACCCGAGCACAGGTTTACAATCGAGTTTACCTAAAAAAAAAAAGGGGGGGGGTGCATTCTAGTAAGGTCCCATTGTTGTAGGGACGGTCCCGCTGTAGCGGGTGCCACTATAATCATGTTCTACTGACTGTACAGTTGACTCCACTTGTGTTGAACTCGTTTGAGTAAATCTTAAATTAAGATGATCTTTTTCTCAGGTCCCAGCACCTTTTCTTCTTTATGGGTCTCAACGGTAAAGTTGAACTTCGGATGAGTTTATCTTTTTTCACTCCCCCGACAACATCAAACTCTCTATAGTTGACTTTGTATTACTATTACAGTGTTGAAAGCCTCCAAGCTGTTTCCTGTGAGTTTTAGTATCTCGAGAGATATGGCCCGGAGCTTAATTAAGTAAATCATTTTTCCAGGTGTTATTATGCTGTTAATTCTTTTTACTCGGAGTTGATCAAGTATACTTGAGAGCATGCAATTCTTATTACATGTGACACAATGATTTAAAATGTGTTACTATGACTGTTATTTTATTTAATATTTTAATTAAAATAAAATTATATTAAAAAAACCACTGACTTGAATTTGAATTGAATAAAATAAATTGCACTTCTTGAGACTTGGGAGCAACTATCCCAGAAACATCACCAGACCTGTCTACCTGTGTAGTGGATTCCTGTCTTTTCAAGGTTCAATGCATTTTTTTGTTCTGGAACTTTCATTCCCTCCCAATCTATTCCATTTAGAGCTTCTCAAGATTCAAGAGAATGGTGCGTGTCATGGTAGGGTCCTTGATATTTTATGGATTTATACTCATTTGGAGTTATGGAAGGTCTCTTTCAATGTGTGTAGCATATATTTTTATCATCACTTTATTTTAAAAGTGAAGATTGCAAAGACTGGACACAGTGAAATTTCATGATCAATTCTCTCCCATGGAGGATCAATAAAGTGCATATTCCATTTTTACGTTACATCACAATGCCATTAATCAGATCATAGTCGATTTAAGGTTTGTCACATCATACCCCCTTTATTAATCTCAGTTGAGTTGTACGATAGTAAGCCTACAGGTATTTAAGTACAGACGAGCCTGCCAAGACGGCCACCTGTACAAATGGACACTTTCACTCCCCACCCCCCGCAATAAAACATCCTGTCTTAATACTCGGCCGAGGCCACTATATTTTATCAACCATCGGCCAGAAAAAGCAATAGCAAGCCTGTCAAAGATGGCCATGCAAATCTCTCATCGCTCAACACATTGCCATAAATTACATACTGATTCTGAGACCAAGCCGTCATAATCTATTCACCTATTGTTTGTCCATTCATTGAATGAACAAATCATGTTGCATAGTGATTTTGTCATGACCACCAAGGTCAAGGTAGGCCGAGTTAGTTCTGGATCTGGAAGATGTGGTGAAAATGTTTGTTTACAGAGAAGGCTGAATCCACAAAAATAGAATTTTTTTTTTTTAAAGCATACTTTGATCCAAAAATGACTATTCCAACTCAGCCCCTGACTCAGACTGCCCATCCTGCCATTTATTACAAAACAGATCCCATTCTAAAAGTCTCCTCTGTCATTTCTCTAAAGGTTCAAATCATCACAACATACAATAGGGTAAACCGATAACTGTATAAGGAACAAAATGCAGGTGGTTGGAGGGTGACACTGGTAGGTCCTACTTCTTTTCATTTCTTTCCCTCTGTTGTTTCTGTCTGTCTGTCTTACTTTTTCACAGCATTTAATGACCATTATAATTGATATTGTGCTAATGTACTTCTGTTTACTCAAACGTACAAACACACAAAGTCCAGGAACCAAACAAACAGAGCTTTAAAAAATATAATAATCTTTTTTATTTACAACAACATAAACATAATACATAATGCAGGATCTGTAAAACATGCTAGGTAAACTTGGACTTGAGTATAAACTTGTATCTCCTAGGCAGATAAATAGCTACAAGAAATAGCCCGATGGTATAACCTCCCAGGGCACCCAAAGAACAGCTGACTGGCCATTCCTGATGATGAAAATAGAGGACAAGTATGTTTTAGTTTTAACTAACAATAATTTGTAAAAAAACCAAAAAAAAACAACCAATGTACAAATACAACAAGAAATTTCGCAAGATTGAGGGAAGTCGGTCACTATTGCCATCAAAATCAAATAACTGTCAACACTAGAAATTCATGAACAAAAACTCTTGATCAGATTCCAATAAAACAGTTGTAAAGGTTCCAGAGTGAGAGAACATTTTGAGACTGCAATCATTCGCTTTCCTCTTCTAAAAGCCAACTTCAACAACACTAGCATAGATAGGAAAAACACTTTAAAAAAACCCACATCACCAGCTTTTTCTATTAAAATGACGCTGTCAAAGAAAATCTAGCTGTCCCCGTGGTTTTATGCACCCCGCATAATTCAGCAAAATTTGATCATTTTTTTGCATAATTTCTGTTTATTTTCCTTTATCATTCTTTGTTAAAATTAACAGAATCGCATAATTTCACATTTTTGGGCTCAGTTTGCATAATTTCATAATTTTTTTTGCATAAAACCGCGGGGACAGATCTACACTGCTTTCTTTTTCATCATGTGACTAGATAAAGGTAGAGCTATCCATTTAAGGAACTTTAGGCTTCATAAAAGACGATGGGTTTTGAGAGATTACTAGTCTATCACACACAGGCATAAACCAGCCCAGTGAGAATCCTCACCAGAAGCACTGAATGAATTAAAATAATGCTCTCTCCCATATCACCAGATAACTGTCAACGCCTTTGTTCTACCACTAAAATAAGAGACATTCAGTTGCAGTGAGTATAAAACTCAAACAAACAAAATTCTGACTGCCATTGAGCCGAGAATTTCTGAGTAGGGAATCACGTACAAAAACCACAATCTAAGGACCGCCAGATTTTCTTCAGTTTAGCAGGGTTGTTGGTTTAGAGAGGTTACTCAAACAGCAGAAAAAAGTAAGGGATTTTATTTTCTTTCGGTTTACTGCTGTTCTCAGATTTAAAGTGTTAGGTTTAAGCAGACTCCAGTGTAATTTCAAAACTTGAAAAACATTTACAAGGAAATCTTGTGAAAAACATGAGTGAGTAAAAACAAACTCATAAAAAAAAAAACTAGACTAACGACAGAAAAGCATTGTGTGGTGAGATACCTGCCACGGCCTGTCCCAGTCTAAAGGTATAGGTATAGCTCCAAGCCAGGCACCCAGCAGAGAGCAGACACTGGTAACAAGGACCACTGTCTCCAAACCGACGTCAGAACTGCGGACAAAAAGGGAGAGTTTTTGCATTGTACTTAATGATGTAGAAATCAGACGACATGATTACATAATGATTGTTTCCATCACAATGTTACTTTCTTATGTCACCGCAGTAATGGCAGAATACCCCAAAGAACAGATAGAGATAGCTGGCCTACATGGCGTTACACTGTCAAGAAGTAGAAGGAACAGAGTATCAACCATCAGCCCAGGTCCATAACATTTATACATTATTTATTTATACAGTACTCATATATTTGCTACAGTGAAAAAGAGTGGTAATCTATGAAGTAAAAGAATAAAAGCAAATGACAGAGTGGGATGAAAATAAGAAAATCTCCAAAGTGTAGCCTTTCAACTAGTGGATGTATCAATCAGCAGATTATATATATATATATATATATATATATATATATATATATATAAAAAGACACAGCTTCGATAAAAAGAAGATAAAACTTAAACCATACTTTAAGGCAATAGATTATAGAGGCAGCATGACCAAAACACTGTTGCTGCTACATAAAAGATCACTTTCAGGTTAGTGCAAAGAAGTGAAGGGACAAGGAAGCAAGAGTAGCGAATGTACAACTGTTGCATAACCTTTGGCAGGTTACCGCCTATTTTTCTGAGAAATTAGTACACATACATGATCCTACAAATGACCATGTGACATCATGTGGTGTGTTTCATGACATCATTGGCATTGGCCATTCTCACTTCTCTAGACTAGTACAGTGTACAGAACAGTGTGTAACAAGTGTGCTGATCTACTTTTTCATCTGTTTTGCGTGATTGTTTAACAAGTTATAAAAGCTGACAATGTCAAAGGGAAAGCACAATGTGTTAAGCCTGCAGATCAAATTGCAGTTAGTTACTAAAAGAGGTAGATAACAAGAATGCTTTCAAATTTGAAATTTGCTGCAAGCATGGCATTCCTAACTCTATGCTGTAAAAAAACATCGCTATCTGAGCATCGCAATCTGAGCATCCTTATTTAAACCAAAGGAAATCCAACAGTTCAGCAGATTTTGTCTTAAACGGACTCAACTATCTGACTACTATCCATTACCTATCCAAAAAAAAAATTCTGCCCAGGGCCTCCTTGCTTGATCCTACCAGTAGACAACAAGGGAAGCATACTAAGCATGTCAGCAGAGCAGCGAAGTGAAACGTTTCTGCAGTTTTCCTGTTTAATAAAGAAAAAAAAAGACATTTTATGGACACAATCATTTTATGACATCAATTTGTTTTTAAAGGTAAATTAAAATTTATTGGCCAAATACAAATCAACAACATCAAAGTTCCACCCAACTAACTGCTGATTTATTTCAATTGATGCAACTTGAAACAATTGCTCTGAAAAAGTCCACACCTAAAAAACTGTTCTTTGCATCTCAAATCAGATCCCACCCAGCTACTGAGCAGTGACAGACACAGATCTCTGTGTATAATGAGTTGCATGCTGGTCTGGGGGGCCTAAGCATTGCTGTGAGCTTGGCCTTATACTGCAACCTGTTTAGCAAACAATATGTCACATAACTGACACAGGTGTACATTTGAGTGCATTGGCCTTTCTTACAAAGCTCATACTGGTACCTGCAATAATTATCAATCTTTACTTTTACTTTTCCGATCCAGCAATAATTATTAATCAAAAAAGCTAATGTTGCCTTCAATCAACATTCGAGTTTAACCAAAATTGTCGGACCCTGTAACTTCATTGTATCCAAGTTTTACTGTACAAAGTGAGGAATCTGTGACTAAAGTTGCCTTTAACTTATAAATCAATTCTGTTACTGCTGAAAGGGTGACTTTTCTTTTGACTTTACTGTCAGAGTTTTTCTCACATCATAGTTTGCATCACGTTACCGAGGAGAGCATTTTCAACTCCAGCCAGGCATTTCCATGAATTAAAGAATATATATATATATATTAATTTAAATTCTCATTTTACACACCAGGAACCTGACAGAATCTCTGTTCTTCTTAGACAGCAAAGGGCTGCTATATTACAACGAAAGAAACAAAATATCATAATGAGCAGGAATCAATAACTGTAGAATAAAAGCAAGCCATTATTACAAGAACCTTTTTTGGGGTAAGTGTTTTACTGCACTCGCAACTGCATAAGGTCATATGAGCGAACAAGGCATATAAAACATTTTCAGTTGGTAGGAAATTTTGAATTTTGCCCAGGTGGCGGCTGAAGCCTACATCGATTTTAGAACACCAAGGGATCTTTAACTTGCGCAACTTGCACATGGGACCTCCGAGATTTTTCGCCATTTTCCGAGAAGGCTAAGTGTAGATCTTTCCTACTAAAAGATCATGGGTGGGGCTGAAAGACAGCAGTAAGAAGAAGCCAAGGAGTAGCAGTAGAAAAGCTGCAGAAAGAGTCAGGATCCCAGAGGAGGGGGTAAAGGAGGTAAGGGGGTGGGGGCAGAAAGTGAAGACGAAAGCAGACGACACACCGTTGCTAGAGAGCAGGAAAGGAGACAATTTTAGAGAAGAAAATTTTTCCGTCGCTACTCGGATTCAAACCCAAGACCTTTGAATGAGAGGCGAACACCTTAACCTCTAGGCCACGAGAGCCCCCTTACTAGAACCTAAGAAAATATGAGACACAATACTTTTGCATGGGATGGACATCTGAAAATTGTCTCACTTACGCGTAGACTGGGGCTCCATAGCAAACAGCAAGACCATAGAATAAAGTGCAGGAAAGTGCCAAAATCAGACCAGATTTTAAGGCATTCAGAACCTGAAATAGAATCAATTGAAATGTAAGCTTACATGATATAATAGCTCCCATCAGTAGTTGTGAAAAAGTTATGGACTGCAAGGTTGTAATCGTCTTGTAAAATGATTGTGTACCCCATGTTTGTTGTTACTCTTTGTAAAGTTGCTCTTATATTAAAATAGTTCCCATCCTTTATTTTTTTCAGACTGATATTATTCTTCAAATCCAATTGGTGAAAGAAGTTGACTAAAGCCATATTTCTTATGAATCAGCAATTCTGACTCTGACTTTCTTGAAATCATTCCATTATACGTTGTAATCTATTTTGAATCAGTTTTTTTCACATTTTTGTGAATTGAAGATGTAGTTGAATGCGTTCTGGACATATTTTTGCATCTAGAAAAAACAAATTTAAAAATTCATAATTTATTACCAACTGAGCATGAATCAAGGGGCATGATGGGTGGTGGACCTTACTACAATAGTCTCTGCCTCAACGCAAGCCAAACAAAGGCATGATGCTCTGCTCAAATGCACGCTAGGACAAAAAAAAAACCACACTTGACAGGTAAGCTTGACAACGGGAAACTTTTGCTCCAACCTCCACAGCTTGCATGACAAGTCTAGACAACCACATACAGTAGTTTTGGCCTAAGATCCCGGTGCTCAGGAGCAAGGAAATGCGGGATCTTAGGTGAATCAGGATTTTAACCGACAAACCCAGGGAAGAATCTATGGTGACCCATGTTAAGGCTCACAATTGGTAAAATGGTCTCCCTCCACTCTTAAATGAACTGATGTGACCCCTGGGTGGGCTTATGACATATGGCGAGCAAAGAGTGGTTAACTTTGATGACCTATCACAGTGCATAGTTGCATGAGGCGTGCCATTTTCACTTATTATCCTATCATGGGTCTCAAGATCTACGCTTATTCAGTTGCACCTCCCCTTTACCTGTCGAAAATTTATAGCTTTCCATCTCTGACCGAGCTCCCCCATCCCCCTCCCCGCCGTTGTCGTTACACACCATTACGTTGTGAACACACCAATTAAAATTCAGCCTGTCTCGCAATTTCAGGAGGAGAGACAACTGCTGCAATGGTCAGGGAAGAGTTCACGGCTCGATTTGATCTCGCCTGGAGCAAACGGGTCGGCCCTACCCACCCAGCGAGTGATGTAAATTTAGGTGGAGAGCTCAGGTGTGAGTGGCAATGTTTGGGGATAACAAACGTGTCGGTCAGTTCACACCCCGGTGTAATCCCGTCTGGGGCAAACATTGTATCGCTACATCGAGTTTTAAAACATGTATGTGATCCCATTCACTTTCACGATAGTGACTAATCTTTGACGCGACGAACAGTTCATTGATCTCAACTTTTCACTCTTGGTTGATAGGCTATGCCCGCCCGGGTTTTTGTTCCGCAAATTATGATCTGAAATGCGGGATCTTAGCCAAATGTAGACCTTTAGAGTGAATTAGAGCGGGATCTTAGGGGTGACTTTTGTTTAGTAAAAATTATGTTTTCTTAAAGCAGCGGGATCTTAAGCGAACCGGGATCCTAAGCGGTGGGATCTTAGGCGGAGACTACTGTATTTGATGAGACCGCCCCTCAAACAAAGCAAAGAGAGATGCACACCATTTTTGACTCCCAACTGTCCATGGGCACAAGGTCTTGGGCTGGGCGAACCATACATTTATATTCATGTATAACATGTGTGTATGACTGAAATGTATTTTAATTTTGATTGGTCACTCAAAATGTGTCTTTAAGAGAAGGTTTCTCACTGGTGTTTGGGTGACTGTAATGTTTAGTTAGGTCTATGAATATGTTGCACAACACACATGAATGGAGTAGAAGAACAATAGACAGTCTTAGGATTAAATATAAAGTCAGTTGATCAGCTGTGCTCAAAGAACTTAACACGTATTTGTTCAAGGAATCACTTGAAAAAAGTCTCTTAAAATGTCTGATTCATCCATCTGTTTATCGAGTTGCAATAGATAACAGGCAATCGGGAGCGGTCTCTTAGAAAGCCCCATGGCTGAGTGCTCTTCCCTATCACCAACAGTTTCCTTATCTTTTCCGACATATTCAAGTAATCATCGGTACAGTGAGACGGTCTTCTTCTTCTTTTTTTTTTCACCAGTCATTCAATGCCTTTGTAATCATAACCACAATTGGGGAATCCATTCTGACTTTACAAAACAGACACTTAGACACTTTTCCTCTCAATATCGGATCGGCAAAAGCACCCCATCCCAAGGGAGGTCACTTAATGACGGCTAGTCGGCTGGGCTAGCCATACTTATTTGATGGCTAGACTGAGAAACAGCAAAAAATAAGCCTACTGAATTGTAAATAAATATATTTTGGTTTGCAATGTCTAAAGTATTTGTAATTTGTACTTGAGACAAAACCAAAAGGTGCCTGACTGACAGTGCATGTATATTTAAAACCTGAATATTGTATAATCACTTATATCGACATCCGATTTATCGACATTTTGACATATCGACATGTTATTCAATAACAAAATTTTTCCTTCAATATCTTCACTGAACAATTCCTCTTTTAACTTATATCGACTTTTTTTTTGGCCCACTCTGCTTTATCGACATGCTTCCTGGGTACTTGGCGAAGCCCACGAACATAAATGGGGGGAAAAGCCAAGCTAACGGTCAACGCATTAGTTCTTCATTAAGTCTGCATATCCGCCAAGTAGCCTATATCAACACACCAGGCTTTAGTAGGTCATGTAGGGCCTACACAGTGTAGTCTCCAACATAGTACAGTGCCTCACAGACGTGAGCGTCTCGAGCACTGGGCATCACCTCCCTACCCCCACTCTCGATCGTTCACTCCCCTTTCCAATCCCATTCTCAGTCTGTCGCTGGCAAGTGCCACGGTCAGTGAGTCAGTGCCTCTCCTTTCCATTTTCCTCAGCAAGTGGCCATAAACAGGCCTTACAAGGATGCTACAACAAAGTTTGTGCGCTGTCTTTGGTACTTGGTACCGTAACTCCACCTTCCCCCCACCCCCTGCCTCTTTTGTAAGTTCAAGAATCAAGGAAAGCAACCAGCCTAAAAAAAGCATTGTTGTCTTTTACCGTTGACCTCCCATTGTATTTTCCTCTTTGGCTTTATATTTCCATTTATCGACATTTTTATATATTGACATCAAATCCACTTCCCACAGCATGTCGATATAAGCGGATTATACTGTAACTACTAATGAGGCCCGTGTACTCAACAGGTTTCTAATACTGACTAAAGTAAGTACTTTGGCTAGCCGACCAGGCTAGCCGTACTTAATAATAACGGCTGAATTGAAAATAAAATTTTAGTTTCAATTAACTAAAGTATCTGTGTTTCAGACGAAACCAAAAGGCACGTTACTGACATGTTATGTATTTTAAACCCGAATCACCTCCCCCCCATCCCCCCCCCCCCCCCCAGGAGAGTCCCCCTGTCGGAAACTGAAGTGTCTTTAGGCCATTCCAAAAGGAAAAAGGGGGGGGGGGGGGCATTTCTCATTCTTATGTACAGTAAAATTGTAAATGGGCTGATTCAACAATGTCATGCTCATAACAGTGATAACTGTGCCTGAACTACACTACAACAGGGAACTGCTGCCTTTTCTTTCCTAATCCTTACTATCGTTATTTTTTCCTCTACTTCTTTTGTAGGTTTGTCACACTCTTGTGACCCGCTATTTCTGGCGTGCCTTGAAAGAGTTTGTGCTGTTAAAGCTAGAAAGGTGAGCAGAGTAAGCCCGATTCCCTGTAAAGACTTCTCTTTTACATCCACCCCTTGGCGCTCATATGACCTCTAATGCGGTTGCGAGCGCCGTAAAACCTCTACTATAAATAAAATAAAATATAAAACCACAATAATTACAAAATCTAATGAGACCTGTATACTGTATACACAACAGTTTTCGGTCAATAGGGCCAAACCTAGATCTAAGTACGGCTAGACTAGAGACTGGCACGCTAGCCGTACTTAGTTGTACCTAGACAGCTAGGCTAGCTGTAGGCCCCTACTTAAGTATGACGAGCACTTCTCTTAACTAATTGATATCAAGGAAATGAAAAAGTTGCATACTTTTACCCCTTTGCACGAGTTTGCGTAAAAACAAACGCTTTATATAACTCACACTATGAACCCTCCTGAGCACCGTGATTTTAGGCGGAAACTAAATATATATTTTTACTAGATCTAGAATCTATATATCTAATTTTGTTTGACAAGAAAAACAAAGACACCAAGGATGTCATTGCCAAAAACATTTATATATGACAGGTGTATCTATAAGCAACAAACAAGGTCAAGGGCATTGAGAGGAAGTTTGTACTTGTTATTTGTACATTTTGGAGGGAGTTCCACAGAGGGCCGGCCGACCAACAATAATTGGTGCTTTTTCAGTAGTTCCCACCCCCCTTATTTGAGCCTTGACCTACATCTATATCTATGCCTTTGATTTTGATGCGTGGCGAGCTAAGATATCAAACCTATAATATAACTGCAAAGGATCAAATTATGGTACCACCATATATTATATATCTGAAACCCCCCTATTCTTGGGGCCAAAACCAGCGAATAACAATTGCGGGGTGGGAACTACCGAAAAAGCGCCCAATAATTAACACCTAATTTAAGTTTTTTAAACCATTATAACCCTAACTCTTGTATAGTTTGCTCAGTGAACCATGTCACGGTAAGTGCCGGCCCTCGGCGGAAGTCCTCCCTACATTTTAACAAACTTAAGACTTCACTAAGCCCTACCTGAAAGTGAACTTTGGAATCTTTGCTGGACAGAAAACTGAATTGGTCCGGAAACAACAGTGAGAGACCCATTGCACTCACTGTACACTGCAGCATCACAGCAACTAGGGCAGCTTTTATTCCAGCAGTTGGGTTGGCAATAATGTTGAGATCAATATTGCCAACGGTTATGAGAAAGCAAAATAGTGCAACAAAGGCAGAAGAGACGAAGCAAGATATGGAGGAAACAATAACATAGCGTTTGCTCATCGACATCGTTCTCTAATTTCTCTATGAATAGGCCTCTCTAGGAAATTCGAAATAGTCTAGATCTAGATCTAGTGTCTAGATTCTAGGCCTAGATCTAGATCTAGATCTACAAGTTATTTCTCGGCAAGGTCAAACAAGTGTCTCCTAATCTGAAAAAATAGCAATAAATCTACAGAAGGGATACCAAGATCTTTATCAACGACAACAGAACATCAGTCAAGTTGCATTATTTTGGAATAGTTACAATGGGCCCAAGAACCGGTGCGGTTACTACTGTAGCCTAGATCTATGTTGACTGCTGGGGAAATCCTCTCCAAATTTTAGATGGGCTAGCCTATCTCAACGAGTATCAAACCGGAAGTACTCTCTTTAACCAATGAAATAAGGACTGGTAATAACAATGCCTTGTTGTACTCTGTTGTAGTAGGCTAGGCCTAGTTATTACCAAAAACTGCAGGCAGTGTATGTTTGATGCAAATCAGCCTTGGTATATTTTATTTTGAAGACAGAGTCTGTTGAGAAGCGATGGTGAACTGAGACGGTAGGCTTCTCCATGTTGTGACTTGTTTACATGTGAAATCAGAAGATTACATGATGAAATCAGTGTTACTGGCAATACTGGTAGGGTACTGAAGTTACTGTCACTGAAACTGACTCGGGCTCAGGTCACCGCTATCATTGAGTATCATCACAGTGTTAGAGAAAGCCAAGGATAAAACATTGTTTGTCAACTTACCTAGACTTAGAAATCTAGTACTCAGTTGTAGTCTATGAATTAGAAGTCCATATAGACGATCAACAGTGTTCTTACACTGAGAACGATTTTGTTGAACAGTCGAGTGACAGTGACGAGAGGGAGATCTTGTAGTTCCGTTTGTTAAAGTCCACGATCCATTTGTTAACATCCAGAGAAGAAATCCAGAAGTCTTGATGACCAAATACTATTTGAAATAGGCTACACAAAGAGCAGGGATGCAACCTAACTGCAAAGGCCGTCATTATTCGGACGGCCACCTCTATTCTCACCCCGGGTGAGAATAGTGCAGGCGAGTCTTTTGGCTATTCTCACCCGCTGCGCATTCACCGTTATAGCCTAGATCTAGGCCAATCAATTTTGCGTTCACCCTAAACCACAGAATTCTGCACTGTGATAACAGAAAAATTGTAGAATTCTGTGCCGTGAACAAACGTTCCATTACTACTAAAACTAAAAGCGTACAATTTTGTCTGTGGGCAGTGGAGAGAAAGAGAGAGAGAGAGGAGTAACGCGAGAACTTCCGGGCAAAACAAAATGGCGACCGGCGTAGTTCGGCTCGATTCGAAAAGTTAAATAGCCGTAGCATCTTTATAGACGACCAAATTAATTTACTTTTGTGTTTTAACCCTCATCCTGCGGGAGCCGGGTTTATGTAGCCCGATAAGCCTATTTCGGCACCTCGCCTGCGTTCTCGTCCCGAGTCAGTGTAGCTCCTGGCTCAGCGCACGGGCAGCGCGCATCCTCTTACGTGTCATTCGGGTCCCGAGTCGGATCCCCATTCACGCAGGTCAAGTGTGTGTGCGTCAGTCTGCTTGAGTTTGTGTGCGTTTGTGGCCTTCTTCTAGAACCACCTGCGTTCGTTCGTAATCGAGGCATACGTCTCATTCAAAACATGCCAAATTGATAGCTCTAGATGTCCGTCCAATGAAATTATAGAACAAATTGACCCACTTACACATGAGGAGCTCGAAAGGGTAGTCAGGAAACAAGACTTCCATTTTTCTATACAAAATCTTTCAAATGAGCTTGATTTTGTATGAAATGATACTACCTGATAAAAAATGAGCTTGTTTAATAGTTTTGAATACCATTGTGCAGGTACAAAGAACAATTTGAGTGTAAAACTTTCGGAAATTGACCTAAAGTATCCCTTTTCGAACCTCAGGTCATTCATAACAACAAGAGCGTCCAGAAAGGTTATTCAAATGGGCGTAACTACTCGTAATGTCTTATCAGCTTGTGAGAGGGGGTTATTCATGTGTTTGTAACACTTTATAAATAGAATGCTATGAAGGATAGAGCGTTATTTTCATCATCAGTTAACACACTCCCGCGGTATTCATGGCGAAAACACACGTTTCCCGGCGCGCGCGCTGTACACCAACAGTACACACTGAGTGACCCCGGCGGCCTGCCCGGCGAGTCCGACGTAATCGGTTGCTGATAAGATACGCATCTGGGCACAGACGCAGGATAAGAGTTAACATAATTTTTTAACTTTGTTTTGGTCAACTTGATCGTCCACTCCGATAGACAGTATTCAGAAAGAGAGAGAGAAGAGGGGAGGAGTAGATCTTGCGAGAAATTCCGGGCAAAACAAAATGGCGACCCCCGTAGTTCGGCTCGATTCGAAAAGTGAAATAGCCATAGCATCTTTGTAGTCGATAAAATTTGCTTACTTTTGTGCTATAACGTAATCTTTTCTTTGCCTTTATCCATTTGATCATCCACATCGATAGAAAGTATTCCGAAAATAGGAAAAACAGGTCTTGTTTCACACCGGGTCAGGGTTGGGTTGATTTAAATCAGGTTGATTTAAATCAGTTGATTTTTTTTATTTAAATCAACTTGATTTTTTAAATAAAAATCAGTGATTTAAATCACTTTTTAAAAACTTTATTTTTATTCAGTTTTTACATATTTCAACATTCAGAATTCCCTTCCTTGGTTTCATAAAACAGATATAAGGTTAAGTAGACTAATATAATTCATGTTTAAAAGTCTGCTTTCCCACCTTTCACTGTAAAATAATACAGTATTCAATTTACTTTTTTTTCCATAATTGAAATCAGAGCTGGGTTGATTTAAATCAGTTGATTTTTTTAATATTTCAAACAAATTGATTTTTAAAATAAAAATCAGTGATTTAAATCACTTTTTAACAAATGTATTCAGTTTTTACATATTTGAACATTCAGAATTCCTTTCCTTGGTTTTATTAAACATATAAGGTTTAGTAGACTAATATAATCATGCTTAAAAGTCTGCTTTCCCCCCTGTCACTGTAAAATAATACAGTGTATTCAATTGACTTTTTTTTCATAATTGAAATCAGGGTTGGGTTGATTTAATTTTAAATCAGGTCGATTTAAATCAGTTGATTTTTTAAAAATTTTAATCAACTTGATTTAAAAAATAAAACTCAGTGATTTAAATCACTTTTAAAAAATGTATTCTGTTTTTACATCTTTAAATATTCAGAATTCCTTTCCTTGGTTTTATAAAACAGTATATAAGGTTTAGTAGACTAATAAAATCATGCTTAAAAGTCTGCTTTCCCCCCCTGTCACTGTAAAATAATACAGCATTCAATTTACTTTTTTTTTCATTATTGAAATTAACATTTTCTTTTTCTTTTTAGACAAACACAAGCATGTGCACACACACACACACTGTAATAAAATGCAAGTTTATGTAAGCATAATTACCCCCCCCCCCCCCCACCCCTTCCTTTTAGACTGACATTTTCTTCATTTTTTGTCTGTAGCCATAATTCACTGATATATATATATATTATATATATACTATTATATAGCAGATTAAGGCTTTCTTTTGAGGTTGCTTAATTTAATCATTAGTTATATTAAGACAATGCATTTTGCACTAAAAGAACATACTTTTAGCAACCAAAAATCCCAAACTGTGTCGACATTTTTTTAAAAATCAAAAAAATCTGATTTAAATTTAAAAAATCATGATTTAAATTTAAAAAATCGATTTTTTTATATTTTTTTGAAAAAAATATAAAAAATCACCAACCCTGCACCGGGTGAGAATAGCCTACGGTGGCAAGTCTCACCCGGGGTGAGAGGTCGATCGTATTTCTATTCTCACCCCGGGTGAGAATAGCCACTTCCTATTTGGACTTGAATCCGAATAACATTTTTTCATATTCGGACTCGAGTCCGAATAAAAAAAATTCATTTTCGGACTCAAGTCCGAATATGAAAAAATGTTATTCGGACACAGGTCCGGAAAAAAGAAAGTGTCTTCATTCTATAGTCTATAGATCTAACGTTCTGTGCTTCCAATTTTCCGCCATTTGTTAGTTTCACCCACACCTTATCTGCCGATCCGATGCCGCCGCCTCATTGATACCCCCCCCCCCCCCCACCCCCCATGTTTCCCACTTTCTTTGTTGTAGAAAAAGGTAAAATTGAAGATAAGCAGATCACCTGGCACCTGCATATTATGAGCTGTGTAAAAAAAAAAGACCGATTCGTTCAAATACACAAGTCTGTGTTATCTCAATTGTTTACCAAGAAAAAGTTGTGTTGCTGTGTAGAGCCGAGCATACGGCAACTTTTGATTCCATAGACCAGCACACAATTCATTACGTAGATCTACGTCAAGATTAGCTTATTATTGTAATAATGATCAGTTGCCGGGGGGGGGGGGGGGGGGGGGAGACTGACTCACATGCAACGTTCAACGCCCAGACCGATAGTGCCCTTCCCCGACCTGCACCCACAGCCACACGTGTGCAGGCCGCCCATCCGACCCCGACACACGCTAAAGAACCATCTTTAATTGCTTCGACAAATAAACATTTATTAGAAGCGCTATAACTTTTCAGGCCGGCCTCAAATTCATCATAAGATAAAAACTCGGCTCCTGCACAATTTAACGCCATTTTGCCCGAAGTGATCCCGGTCTCTACCCAGCCTGAGGTGAGTCACGAGTGAGGCAGGACAGGAAGCCGGAGTCAAGAGTCACAGGAGGTCGGAAGTGATGTCATGCTGGACAAGAATCAGAGTCCGAATATATTTTTTCATATTCGGACTCGAGTCCGAATAGTCACTTCGAACTGCAATACATCAAATTGGGATAAAATTCCGGGGGGCATGCCCCTCCACCTCCATATTTTTATTAGGTCAGGGGGGCAAGCCCCCTGAAACCCCCCTACTGGGCCCTACTCTTGACTTTAACTTTAACGAACGAAACTACAAAATCGCTGACAAGATTAACATAATTAGTAGATCTAGAATCTAGTATTCGATCTAGATCTAGTATTAAATTAGTTAAGAGATCTAACCAAAATTAGATCTAGATCTAAATCTAGATATATCTAGATAAAATCTAGGCCTAGATCTTGAAACTAGATCTAGATAGATCTAGTGCAGTAACTCATTGCTGATGTTATTTCTGATAGTTGTATTGGCAGCTGTATATAAATGATATATATTTCATCAAGTGGCTATTCTGTGGCGTCACGCCGGTCAATAGATCGATGCCTATTTTCCGGCGTCACATGCTAGTTGCACATATGTCGCTTCTCCACAGCTTTCCATCCCCCCTGTCGGCACGTTATGGCCATTATTGTTGCAACTGAGTTCGGTGCCGGATGTGCTTTTTTGTACTTCTGGTTGTGACTGAGAGTTGGTGACACTTTTGGTGCTCTGTCAGTGTCACGTCTGATACAGAAATTCTTCCTTCCTCCATCACTGGAGCTTTCATTGAGTAACTAGTGGCTACGTGTCCACCTATGTTGAATAGTATTCTGAAGAAATGCAGACTCGGGTGTTTGTGTAAGGCCAATGTGCCGACAGGGGAGATGAAAAGCTGTGGAGAAGCAACATGTGCAACTATACATGGCGCCGGAGAATAGCCATCGATCTATTTACCGCTGCGACGCTGGAGAATAGCCACTTGCTGTATATATTTCATTTTCAGTTAACTCATAATCTGTGAAAATCAACATATATGTTTAACTCTAATCTCCCTATTAGATTTCTTCTTCATTCAGCCAGCATTCACGGGGGGGGGGGGGGAGGTTCTCAGCGGTCAGCATTGGTTTCAAGGAAGGTGTTTTCACCATGAGAATACCATGGGTTTTTGTTGATCAACAATGAAAATAACACCCTTGTCTTTTATAGCACACACAAGCTTTCTAGTTGCAAATGAAAAATTAACCCCCTCTCATAGGTTTATAAAAGTCATTACGAGTGGTTGCGCCCCCTAGGTCTACTAGATCTAGACACCATGACTCTATAATATTGTTACCACGAATGTATTGAAAAGGGAAAAAATATCTACAGAGAAATTTTTTAACGCTTTGCTCTTAAATTTCTCTTTCTAGTTCTAGCTGCACAATAGTTTTTAAAACTATCAAATAGAATTATTTTTATCAAAGAACTTAATGGAAAAAATGCTCATAAATTTTAAAAATTTTTAATTGAAAAATGGAAGTCTTGTTTCCTGGTTATCTTTTCAAGTTAGGTGGGTCAGTTTGTTCAAGTTTCATCGGACAAACGTCTTGAGCTACCGACTATATTATTATATAATTGTTTAAAATGAGAGCTATACCTCTGTTTCGGAGCAATTCTGATGGTTCTAAAAGTAGACTGCTGACGCGCACGCACTTCAGCTACGGAAACACAGGACCACTGAATTTTTTAGCTTGTATAGAGGTATTGGTATCATCTAACGCTTTATCTCTAAGTAGGGTAAACCCACTATGCCGAGGCCCTGTTTTGGTTTGAAAACTAAGTGACATACGTAACCTCACTAAACTGGTCCTCAAATCCTAAGAAGTGAACCTATTTTGATGGTTCTTCATTTAATGAATTAGCTCCCAGTTAAAGAGACCTGTTTGCGGCAATCGCCGAAAAATAATTTGACATCAAATTTGTTGTACAAATTTGTTGTAAAGGAATTTTCAGGGAGTTAAAGCTTGGTCATTTGTCTTGCTTTTGGTGGAATAAAATACCATCTTCTATCTTGAATAGAAGTCGAGAAATTAACAATTGAAGGAGGTGAGGTTCCCCTGATGTCAGGGGAAAAATTACCAAAGTTTTTCAGTAAAATCTATAGATTTTTTTTAGGTGGCCAGCAAAACACCCAGAAAAGTGATGGTTTCTTTGATTTTGACATTATTTTGAGGAATGCCTGATTTTACCACAATGTCTCACAACATGGTTCACCTTGTTGTGCGTTGGAGATAGAACAAACTTGAACTCGAAGCATCCGCAAAACACAGACAGAACACTTTGAATCTCATACTATGAATTGGAGACAAATTTGTATTCTACTTCCAGTAGGACTTTCCTTTTTGTTTTTATAGCAATATTTTTATCATATCATTGTAAATGTAGCGTACTGGACAAGATATTAAATTTTACTCTTGTGACTTTATAAGTGTGATATATAGAAACATATTATTTCAATTTCTAATTTTGCATTTCAGACAAAGCAAATGAAGTGAAGAGGAAAGAGAAGGCACTTGGTATCAGCAAAGATGAAAGTCTCAAAATTTGCAACACATCATTTGGAAAGGATTGTGCTAATATCAGCATTATGCCTCTTCTTATCAAATTGTGTTACAGGTCAAGGTAAGAACTTTGTATTATCATCTAATGTTGTGAATTATGAGTTGATTCAGAATTTAATTGCAGGGCTGTCCACCATTAGGAATTTGGCAGAATCTTTACGGTTTTTATTCACTTTGACGAAAAAACTATCGTTATGCCCTTGATTCTGATTTTTTTTTTTTTTTTATCGGTTGCTCCAACCCACTACGAGCTTTCAAGGTGTATAAGAGGAGAAAAACTACCAGACTCAGACAATCTACATCACTCATCACTACGTCTAATGCAACTGTCTAACTTAAACAGGACCCTCTTTCCATTGAGTCCTTGTACTTGTAGTCGCTCATTGCCACTTTGCCCTCGGAAAAACGTTAGACTTACAAAATGCCAAAGCCAGGAGTAAGACAAGCATAAGGTTGACAAAGTGTTAGAAACTTCCCTCCCTTTTGTGTTTGGAATGAGTCTAGCCAATGAGAGAATTTAATAATATAATACAAAGATCATTGTTGGAAATGTGAAACAATTAGCAAGTGTGGGCAAGTGGCATGGTGTGTTGTAATGCGCAATCAGGATCAAAGGCTTGTGACAAATTCTGTAATTCCCAAAGTTTATTTTATTTGTTCAAGCAGTATCCCGCCTTTCCTTTTTTTGTAAGTTGCTAATGACAAGCCCCAAAAATCCCTTTTTTTCATCCTGCATGTGATAATATTACATTTATACTTGACTGCGATCCCTGTCCTTGACACTCAAAGGAAGATGATCAATGGCCATTTTACGAATTTTTAAGTCAGATTACTAATTCTTTATTTGTTGATTACTAATACATATGCTGGTGAGTGGGCAGCCCTGTAACTGCCGTGTTTTCATGAGATAATTTTTTCATCTGGTTTTAGATTTTACCACAATTCTTTTCTTTTGATTTTTATTAAAAAGTTGACTTTTCAAATGTTCTCTTAAATGTGCTATAACAACGAATTTCTTTCAAAATGTATATTTTCTCTGAATGAATGCTTATATATTAGATGAGATATACAGCAAATGACTTTTCTTTTTTCCTTCTTGGGTGTTTGGAATTACTGTAAGTCCTGTTTTTAGCAGGTGGATTGAGAGACCAGGGGCAGACAGCATCACAAAAATCAAAGACAGTGGAAGAGCAGGCTGCTCAGCCCCAACCAAAGCCACAACCTCCTCTTCAGGGTCAGGGAAAACCGCCACCGCCTACCCATGAACAACAACAGCAACGCCAACAGCTGCAACGCCAACAGCAACATTTCAACCCACAACAGCCACAACAGCAGGAGCACCAGCAGGAAATACATGAACAGGAAAGGAGGCGTCAGGCAGTGAGAGAACAGCTGCTTCATGAACAGCAGCTACAGAGAGAACAGCAACAGCTGAATTTAAAACTACAGCAGGAAGAGATAGAGCAGCAAAAACAACAGTTTAAAGCACCTCTCCACGACAGCTCTATCAACATGGAGCAAGAGAATCCTGAACCTTCCATAGAACCTATACGTCAGCCTGTCCCTGTTAAAGATACCCAGTTACCTCAAGGGGTTCATCAACCCTATGATTCTGAGCAGGAAGTGCTTTTGTCTGAGAAACAAAGACATAGCCCTTTCCAGAACTCTGAGGAAGGTAGAGATAGACAGCCAGCTGAGGGAGACTCAGGACTTCAAGGTCCCACGGAGATCAACCCATTGAAAAGTCGTGAGCTGAATCGAGGGGAAGAAACAAAGAGTGATGACTCTGTGAAGGGTTCTCTTAATGATTTTAACCCTCAGCCTCCGCTAGGCATGGGTGCTGTGCCTTCCTCAATGGCTGAAACAGATGAGGGTAAGGGTGCAAGAGGTGCTGAGGCTGGACAAATGGAAATGAGACAAGTTCCTGGAAGTGTTGTGCCACCAATTGTTTCTGAGAAGGAACTGGAGGAAGAAGCAGATGACTCCTCAACGGGTGAAAATGAAGAAACTCCATTGCTTTATGATGGAAAAGAAATGACTCCAGAACAGATTGAGGGTATGTCATGCTCATAACCTTTGATCATAAAATTTTTATTTTTTTTGCTGGGGTTGTGAAGAGTTTGCCTTGATAAAATTAGTAGTCCACAATGAATATTGTTTTAAATTTTAGCAGCTCTAGTTTTTTGCAGTAACGCATATAACTACAAACATTTGAACTTCATAAAAGAAATAGATAATGTGTCTTGTTTAAATTTAGGGGAAAAAATAATCGTTTCATTGAAAAAAAAAAATTTAAAGGCAACCAATAATTTTTTAGGAATACATGAACTCTGGCCCAAGGGAGACCCCAATATTTATTGATTGATGGCTTCAGGATAATTTCTATACATGTTTATGTGCTATTTTAAGCTGAGAAATTCCTGCATTGTTTCTTTTTTTCATATTTTATTTTCAGCTGAGAAACTCTTTCAAGCTGGAGAAAAGCTGATCAATGCCACTTACTACAAAGAATACAAAGAGTAAGTCCAAAGTAATTTTCTCTTTTAGTGTCTTGTAAGATTTAGGATGTTAATGTATTGTACAATTTTGATAATCTATGAATGTGTGAGTGGCACTGATGTTCTGTAGATTCAATGCTGTCTCTTTAACTCTTTAAACACAGAACAACACTCTCAGCCTTAGTTGAGAAATCCCACAACCATTGAAGAACAATGTCAGCGTTCATCAGTTTTTTTCCTTGTCTCCTCCATTATTTTTTCCTAACATTTTAGTCAACAAAGATAAGTCATACATTCATGATTCCTATACTTTCAGTTCCTGCGTACATTTAACTTTGATTTAATGTATGACATGAATATATTCCTATACATCCTGAGTGGTTTACAGAGAAGGCCTTATCGACAAGTAAAAATATCCCCTCCCCCTCCCAGGGCAGTTTTACAGACTGAAGTTGTCTTTAGGCCATTCCCAAAGGGGGGATATTTATATGTTCTTATACACAGCAGAATTGTAAATGGGCTGATTTATCAATGTCATGCTTATGTTGTGCCAGAACAACGTAGGGGGAACTTCTGCTTTTTCTTTCTTCGTCCTTACTATCGTCATTTTCCTCTACTTCATTTGTATGTTTGTCATTGTCTTGTGAACTGCTATGTCCGGAGTGCCTTGATAATCAAAGTTTTGTGCTGTTGAGGCTAGAGAAGTGAGCAGAGTAAGCATGATTTCCCGTTTGCACTTCTCTGTTGACATCCACCCCTTGGCACTCATATGACCTTGTGCAGTTGCAAGCGCAGTAAAACCTTACTTAAACTAAAATATCCCTCCTTCCCCCACCCAAAAAAAAAAGTAAAATTCTCCGTAAATATGCTCAAAATTGCATGTTCAAAGAGTTTAGTTGCTTTAAATTTTAGAGAAATCTTCCTAAAACTTCCTTCCAGGGCTTACCTTAATTTTCTGCGGGCATCAGAGATGGACCACAAGAAAGCAAAGGAGTATGTAGCCTTCGCCCATTTGTTTGGAGATTATCTACCTCAGAATGTGACACGAGCCTCTGAGCTGTTTGATGAGTTAGCAGACCTGGGGTCACCCAAAGCCCAGATGGTAAGCCAGTCATTCTCTCTGGTGTTGTTGGCCATTTTAATTCTACTGAGGTAGTAGGTCTAGGTGAAACTTTAAACAATATCAAAATATTTGCCACCATTTCTTATTTTCATTGAATTTCTCCATCTGTTATTAAACTATGAACCAGAGAAGATGGCTACTTGTCCATATTTTTAGTTTTCTAGTCTATGTAAAATGTTTTTTTTGTAGGCTGTTAACGTGCATTCAGAGGGAAATATGGTGGCAGTGACCACATGATTCTCATGGCGTTGCTGGTGATGTTCATTCTGTTCGTACTGTATTGTTGATGAATGTCTTCAAAGAGTTTCATCCTTTTTCCATCGGTACTTATAATAAAAATCATTTACTTGAGGGACTTTGTGCCCAGTTAGTTATGTCATGTCTTTTTCTTCTTTGAATGGTACAATTAGTCACGATGGGTTCCCATAAGGTAAGGTTGGGGAATCTGTGTGCCAGAATCACCAGTGAGATTTCAGGGTAAAATGGTGTATTGATTTCTCTGTTCAGCTGATAAATCTCAGATGTTTCCACACACTGTACGAGACATAACTCAGAAGAAGTTTTCAAATAAAATGTTATGTCCCTCAGTATGTTTTTCTTACGTCACACTTGACTTTTGTATCAAGTGAGTAATCTTTTGGACTGTTCTTTTCTCTCGTGACCAGGGGTTGTCTTTCATGTGCAGTGCCGGATTTCACTACAATTCAAGTCAAGCAAAGGTAAATGCTGGCGTTTTTGTACAAGTGATACAAGAGTATGTATCAATGAAATGCGTAGTGTTTTGCTCTAAAAAATAATTTTCCTTTTGTATTTAACATTGAACTGAGATTTTTTAAATTCTGAAATTCTTTTGATTATAATTTTAGATGATTCTTGCTACTTGAAACTTGAGGTTTCAAATAGTGATAACATTAACTGTTAGTTGCATTTTAACCAAACATGATGACATCATGGTATTTTGTTGGAGGAGGTAAATGGCCTGCTTCTCTCCTCATGTGTTGATTTTGTGGATGGATGTGAAAAGTACATGAAATGTGCAATTTACATTTCTCCCCATGTGCTGTCTCCAGGCTTTAATTTATTCAACATTTGGAGCTCTGGGAGGAGACCCTCTGGCACAGATGTCTCTGGTAGGTTGATATGGATACTTGCTTTAGTATTGTCATGGAAAGGTGTGAATGTGAACTGAAATTATAAAGTTGTTACTTTTTTAAGAAACTGTTACATTTGTTATAAGAGATAAATTTGGAACTTTACCTAGATTGCTTAGCTTTATGCTCTTGTCAAAGTAGGGGTTTTTTTGGAGGCAAAGTCAAGCAAGGTACATATCATCAGTGTCATAAGAAATATGGGTAACTTTGTTATACCCTGCTTTACAGAGCACGTAAAGAAATTAGAGTAAGCCTTGTTCCTGGGACAGTGACAGTATATCGAAATGCTTGTCATTTTAGACTTTTTATGAATAAAGGGTTCAAGTTTTCCAGGTGACGTTTGTACATCTTTTGTACTCCATAAACTGTACATAAACTGTTTTTCGGTTGTGGTCCACAGGGCTACAGATACTATGCAGGAGTTGGTGTTGAGTCCAAGTGTGAGACGGCTTTGACATATTACAGGAAGGTGGCAACAAAAGGTCAGTTTCTCAGGGGCTGAACTACATCATTAATAAGATGAAGCTCTTAATAGTTCAAATAGAAAACTCGAAAAGAACTGACATATTTTCTGAATTAGTTTTAAACATATGTCTTACAGAAGCATGCACATCGTGCAAAGTCACATTTGCCAGTAAAATGGGTTTGAAGTATTCATCTCTTCCTGCCCTGAACCAAAATTTTTCCAGACCTCACAAGTACTTCGATAAAATGGGAGCCCTCCTGTTTTTAAATTTTTTTTCTGTCGAACCCCTATCAGATTTGCATTAAAAAATCCTTTTTTTCCTCCTTTGTATTCTGTTTTCATCAGTTGTACACAACTTATCGTAAAGGATGTGAAAATATACCGCTACAGATTTATTTGCAACATTAAGTCAAAGATAGTACATAACAAGATGGTTCACTCAGCCAAAAAAGTGTCCGTGGAAGTCTGCTCATTGCTTCAGATGGCGCTGCAGTCTTTGTTTTGAAGCTCTCTTTCGTTTCTCCAGAAGAAGACTAGGAATAGCACCCCCTTGGGTGCGCAGATCGACTGCTGTTCATCAGCTGTTCGGGTTCGTTCAGTGCGAAGTTTTAAAAAAATAAATTTTAATGACCTCTCGGCTCTCATTCTAAAGTCAATTAAAGGAAGAGAACAGTTGCTTCTTCCACCAGAAGAGGTTTTTTTTTGTCAGCATAACCATTTAAAAAAAACTTTCTTCCGGAATTTGAATGCTAATTTATTCAAAAACTTGTTAGATTCACTTTGATTTTTTTCACACAAGTAGGGTAACTGTTCGCAAAGGTTGTGCTTTTTCAAAGAGGGCGCCACCAGATTTTGAGGATGGCTCAAAGAGAGGAGTGAACTATCTTATTATGTACTATCTTTGATTAAGTGCAACTTATTGTAAATGACGTGAAAATACACGTTTTTGTTTGCTTTTTTTTCCTCAGTATTTGCAATACTGGTACATGTTTTTGTGCCACTATCAGTTTGAAAAGTTATTGGAATCTACTTGGGTTCTGGAGACTCCAATCTTTTCCAAACTCCAAATTTTGGGGAGTATTTTGAGGAAAACTCCTGTTTGTGGTCACAGAAGAATTGGCAGATTTGGTTTTGATACAGTCAAAATTCTCCAAGACAGCCAGATATTGAGGAGAACAGCGATTGTCATAGACAGGTAGACATCTTGTACCGTGTGATTTTAGTATAAAGCAACACACGGTATGAAGTGGTTGTTTGTACAGGTGATTATCTTTGACAGGTGGCCATTAGAGCAGGTGTAACTGTGCTTCAGTCTCCTGTTATGTATGTCTGGGCCTTTATGCACGTCAGAACCGGTTAACTTAAACGCATTTAGAGCTTAATCACGGTTAGCTATACGGGCCCTTTCCGCGTATAAACCTTAACCAGATTTTGTATGCACATCGCACTAAACAGAAATGTGTAGCTAAACGCAAAGTTCAAGGTGAGATATTTATAGATTACTGGGAAAACCCGCTCCGCTATCACTGTGTGCTTTCGGACATTCGGTTTCTAACTACCCGCGGGAGTTTATGAACTGTGCTGCACTGCGGAGAAAGTCGCGAAAAGGGTCAGAAAAGCGAACAGTGGTGAGGAAATTCAAAAACTACTTGAAGAGCTGCAAGTAGAAAATGTGACCCTTTGCAGCAGCCGCAGCGCCACCTTAACCAGTGAGATGAAGAAAGAGATGTGACAAAGAATAACATCGAAGGTGAACGCATCTGGCGCCGCAGTGCGAACTGTACCGGATTTGAAAGAGAAATGGACAGCGTCAGTTCTCAACAAAAAGAGAGATGGGGCGAAAACGGGCGGAGGGCCAGCACCAGTGCTCTACGAAGAAGTGATATCGTAAATCATAGGGGACAAATCAAATTTGTTTTTATTTATTTGCACGCATTTAGGTCCGCTCTGGGACCCCCAGAGGTGCGATAATTTAAAACGCGAAAGTGTGTATAGAATAGGCTAACCAGATTGATGTGCGTACAGATTTTTTCTGCCTAAATGCCCGTATGGGGGATAAACGCGTTAGCCGACTATTAAGGACCGACTTGCGTACAGGCCCTGATGTGCTGCTCCTATTTATGTATTTGCAGAGTCAAATGTTATAATGTGTGGGTCTGTGGGCCAAAGGCCTTTCAAATCAATAAAATCACCTTGAAATCTTAAAATCTCTCTTCCTCCAGTGGCAGATGCTGTCACCCTGGCAGGAGGTCCGGTGGTGCAGAGAATCCGTCTCCAGGAGGAGGCAGAGAACCAGGGCACCAGCAACAGCCCTCTGCTGGACGACGACCTACTTCAGTACTACCACTTCCTAGCTGACAAGGGAGACCAGCAGGCTCAGGTGATCATCATTAATGTACAGCAAACTTGTGAATAGCATCCAGAAAGTTTAATGTTTTGGATCTTTTTTAAGCACTTTTCCAGTAAGTTGCTAATTTTTGCTTGTTTTTCGGAGAGATGAATTTATACTTGCTTTCAGGTTCCATAACATGTTTTTGGAGTTGTTGTTTTTTTTACCAGACCCTGCAATACTTATCGTCAAACATGAAAGAACAAAGTTGGGCTTTTTTTTTTTACTGAACATGATAAAAAGGGGTTTTATTAAAGCCCCATATCTCCCCAGGCTCTGTTTGGTGAACATGCGCCATGTTTATCTCTGGTCACAGCTGAAAATTCAGCATCTGTTCTACTTAAATTATAAGCAGCAATAAATGAGTCCATTGGTGATAGGTGGTTGGAGGATGCCACTTGCAGGCCTTACTTCTTCACTTTCTCTATGTTGTTTCTGTCTGTTTTGCTCTCTCTTAGCACTGAATGACTAGTGTCTTGTGGATCTTCTCTGTAGTTGAAGTAAAACTAATGCCCTGAAATTCCTAACAGAGCACCTTTCCAGTCGCTTGCAACAAATATAGTAGAAGTACAGTACCTGCGTTGAGAATACAGTGCTTCCACCTTTCCATATTTTTACGGAAATCCGTACTTTCTTCCAGTTCCGTATTTATTCCTCCGTCATTATCTACTCCCTCCGTAAAAAACTGCGATAGCGTAGGACCACCGAAATTCCATAGCAAAAGATCCAGACTCGCCTTTGTATCGTCTTGTATAAGTTACGGATATTTACGGTAATTTTCTCTGCAATAAGTTAATGTTATCGAAACCTGCCAGATTGCGCATTTCCTTCAATCAGCCATTATTCCGCGATGCCCCATGCATTCATTGTGGGTTGGTCGGCAGTACAGTTTTACCTGCAGATTGATCAAAATCTGGGGAACTTTTTGTGCCACTTTTGTCCTTTCTATCATTCTCTCATTCCTTCTGTCTGTCTGCGGATTGTTGCCACGGCCGGAAAATCTGCACAATCTGCACGTTGATCAAGTAAATTAACTTGTGATCTTAGACAGAAATTTACTGTCAGAAAGAAACTTTTTCGCAATCATGTCCAGATCCCGAGAAATTATCAGTGCGAAGCTTCTATGGCACAGGAACGCGATAAGGGCCGCGATGAAATAAATTTTTGCTAAAACTACTAAAATCAAGTGTGACATGTGACATTGAGACGTGAAAATTGAGGAAAATTAGGGTATACTCTGGGTAACTGTGTTGTGAAAGTACATATCTATTCATTATTCCCAGGTTTGCCTTCTATCAATGGTGCGATGACAAATTAATTGAATTATAGTAGCAATGGAAGGGGAACCTGCTTTTAAACATTGCCAGCAATGGACAGATATGTAGGTGAAGAAATCGAACAAGACAAAATGTTGGTGAAAAAATAAATGTTATGGGTTGTAGGCAATCTCTTCAAATGCCATTTTCAACCCTCTAAAAGCACTTAATTTCAATTTCTTCGGGGCTTCACCTCCTCAACCCACACCAGGACGCTGTCCCAGACCCTCAGCAAAATTTTCCTTACTTTTCAGCTTCAGCTGGTGGAAGCACTGCAGAATAGTTTGAGAGAAAATGTGTTGTTCGATACATTCCTTACGGCGAGCCGCATTTTGTATTAAAACAGTCTTGCTTTCAGGCTCTCCCAAATCATTATTGATTGATATTCAGATTAGTGTTCTTATTTGTACTGTTTGATCGAAAATTAATTTCCCTGCATTCTGGTGTGTTATAAATACATTCCAGTTTTTCTAAAAGTTTTGAAGAAAAAATTATATTATCTCTTTTCTGATTACCGTCATATAATAAAAAAGACTTTGTCATTTGGGGGAAAATGATCTGATAGGAAAAGCTAATAACCTACATGTATTGATTTAATGGTCCTTTCGTGTTGATTTAATGGTCTGTCTGTATTGATTTGTCTATTGGTATTGGTTGAACAGTCAGCTCGTATTGATTGAACCATCTGCTTGTATAACCTCCAGTAATTGAATGGTCTAACTGTATTGATCTAATGGTGTACTTGTATTGTCCACAGGTTGTCCTGGGCACTCTGTACTACCAAGGAGGCAAAGGAGTTCAAATAAATCATGAAGTGAGGGCTATGTTTTGTTTTGGGTTTAACTTTTACTTCTTCCTTATTTGTGCAGTTGTCAATTTTCATTTTATGTTTTCTGCTGAAGTGACATAACTACCAGGCTCAGTATTTCCTCATTTTTTTTAGGGGAGGGGGCGGGGGAGTAAGTTATTTTAAAAATAAATATGTCATAGACAGAGTGCAAGATGGGGAGGGGGGGGGGGTCTTCCCTTGTGGCTTTGATATTTTAAGAATAACACGTGCCACTATGCTAGGGAAAGCAGGTTGACAATGTCATCACCTGTTTAACAGATATGTTTTGCAGATTTTAATGCAATTTACTTTCAAAATATTTATTTTATTCTAAAGTTGCAAGTATCAAAGCAAAATATTTATTACAATAGTACACAAATAAGAATAAGGTTAAAACAGATGAGCAATTGCCAAAACGTGAGACTCTCTTGAGACTCAGTGGTTCCAAAATTTTTTTCTTACCAATTTGACTCCTTTTATGTCAGTCTCAGATTGACATTTAGAGCTCATATTCCTAGAGTATCAGAGCAAGGAGATGTAGGGTTTTGGAGATATGGGTCTATTGGTTTGGCAACCACTGTATTTCTTGTATGTAACAGTGATGACAAAAACAGATAAGCAGCAAGGCAAATTATAGACTTTGAATTCCATTTGTTTAGTAAACAAACACTTTGTACACTATGAACTCCATTCATAATGGTAATATGAATGACAAGCATTGTAACAATGACGCAATGCACAGAACATGTCATCATTGTTATGTACAAGAAAGGATACACATTGGACATTATCATTGACAACACATCATAATAGTGAAAGGCTGTACAAATACAGTTATCAAAGCCTCAGCACCAGAAAAACACTTGTGTAAAACAATTTTTTAACTAATATGAGGCAAAAGCACAAAATCAATGGGGCTGACTTGTGCATAACAGTGATGACAAACACGACTTGTACATAACAATGATGACACAATGTACAGGAAAAGACAAAGTCATGCCTCCAGAGAGAAATGCACACTTTAAGAATTTTTTTAAAAACCAGGAGAGGTTTCTTTTGCTTTGAAACAGATATCAGGTCATATCAAAGACAGTAGACAATCACAGTTACGTTGCTAATTATGACAAACAGTACTCGTACATAACAGTGATGACAAAACATACTGGGAAAAGGTAAAATCATGCCTACAAAGAACAAATTTGCACTATGAGATACACAGATCAATAAAGGAATATTTTGTTTCTAAATGTATCTTGCATCATGTATGAAATATATGCTGAAAACTTATTGATATTAGCAATTATGAAAAATACTACTTGTACATAACAATGATGACACAATGTATTGGAAAAAGGCATATCATGCCAACAAAGAACAAATGTGCACTTTTGAGTTAGACAGATAAACAAGGACTTGTTTGTCTATTTGTTTGAGTAAAAAGAGCACACATGACATAAAAAATGTTTGTTCTTAGGACAATGTAATTTCTAGTACGTCAGTCAGTCTTGTACGGCTGCATGACGACACCCCAAACGTCATCACTAAGCACAAAAGCTCAATCTATAACCACAGATATGATCCATCTCTCGAAGTTTGTTCACCCATCACACTCTTGTTCCAGGAATCCAATGTAAACACTGCAATTTCACTAAAATATTCAATAGGGTAGCCTAAAAACAGGCAAAACAGTCCAGTACGTCACATTCAACGCAAGATTCTTGTGCGTAACCGGAGGGTGACGGCAATGACTACTTTCGTTTTTCTCTTTCCCCCGTTGCTTCCGCTGTTCTGGGGAAGTGGATAAGGGGAAGTCACTCAAGAAAACAATTATATCCGGGCACTGTTGATGATCCGTTCAAAACAAAATAGGCTAAAATTCGGACTTCCGGTACGTCGCAAAGTGACGCCATTAACGACGAATGTTAAAGAGCCAACCGAAATTGTAGATCTAGGACCCCGATGTTCCTTTCGCGCTTCGCAGCTTTTGAACTATTGAATAAACAACGGAAAGCAAAAAGATTTAACCAGCTGTGGTGGTTCTACTGAAAAATATTAGTGTTTTCTGAAACACCTAGTCCGTGACGACACCACTGACTCACAAGTGATCCGAATTATTCGTTTATTTGCAAACAAATAAACCAATTTCTTGAGCAAGTGAACCTTTCTCGATCACAAATAGCATAGAATCAAAGCTCAGGTTTAAAAAAACCACCCAAAATACTAAATTTTGAACATTCTTGGAAGTTTGCATTGGTGTGCTCAAAATGACAGTCCAGGAATCACAAAAAAACGAACATTTTTGGCAAAAAATTTACAAACTCAAGATTGTAAAGCTGACACTGGGTCTGAAACTGCTAATGCAGGTTCTACATCCTATATTTAACATATGTATAAGTTTTGGAGGAATAAATACTAATGCATCACATTTTATGCACACTAATGTGAGATGTATGTGTTTTTCCCCACGTTTTGGCAATGGCTCAGATAGCATATCTGAATGCTTTGTTTTCTCTTCCAGCAAGCATTCCACTACTTCTCTACTGCTGCTGAAGGAGGGAGTGCTCATGCCATGGGCTATCTTGGAAAGGTAGGTTACAATTTACTGGACACCATACACATATAGGCCTATTTGCTTGGAGTTTATTCAGAACATTTTGATTTGACAGATGTCTTGATTTTTTAATAACATTGTAGTCATATTTCCTAATGCTCATCCAAGGAGACACAAAAAGATATCATTTTGATATTGTAGTTTTCAAGCTATATGAACACCCTTTTTGTGCATAGAGTCTGTTCATTCTACTTCCCAGTGGAATTTTATTAGAGTTTATAAGAAGCACATCAACTCAGTATTAGTCGTTAATTGTTGGGAAAAAAAGTAAAAGACAGATAAAATCAAAGCATACTGAGGACTTGGTTTGTAGGATGTACGAGTTACACTTTCTATAGAAAACAGTGGAAAAACATGTGCAAATGTCTTCAATAGAAAAAATTTTCTTCCTTCTGTTCCACAGATGCACTCAGAGGGAAGTCCTGTTGTGAAGCAGAGCAATCATACAGCATTTGAGTTCTTCAAAAAGTCCGCAGAGAAGGTGATTTTCTCCCTTTTCTTTGATTTATTATTCTTTTTCCGCTGACATTTCGTTATTCATGGGAATGAATGGTTGCACAAGTTACAGTCTGTCCATTGGGGGCTGGGAGGAAGCACCACTCAACCCTTGGTTTGTGTGTACAGTTTGATCTATGGAAAGGATTTATATATTGAAGATGCTTACAATGTTGAGTGAAATGAGTTTTATACTTTTTTATATGTAATATGTTTGTGTGTTAAATTTGTATTTCATTTCCCCCCCACAGAATAACCATATTGGGCAGGCAGGCCTGGGTATGATGTACTTAAATGGATTGGGTATCGAGAAGGTAAAGTTTCTCCTCATCATCCACCATTTACTACCATCATCATCATTGCCTTTCTCACCCTGCACCAGGGTATAGGCCATGGACAATTTACTACCATGTTTTGATGAAAATGTTTGTGTCACACTGTCATTTTTTAACAATGAGTCTGTTTTACGAGAGTGTAATGTTTTGTGCAAGCACTTTTTTTAATACCGTTAAGTGTTATTCATTGGGATGGTTTGGGGGGGGGGGGGGGGATGAGGGCTGTCAGTCAGGTCTATGTGTTTAATTCTTTGATCATGAAGAAATGAGAAAGTGAGTTAGATATTTTTGTGTAGTAATGTGTAGGCATATTTTTGTTTGACTGATATTTTGCTTTTTCTAGTGAATGAGAAGATATAGTTTAAGTGACACTTTAAAGTCTTATATGGCCAATCTGGGTTCCCCTGAAAAGAAAGACCCAATGGTCAATCAAATGAATGCAAAGCCTTTGTCCATCTCTGTACCTGAAGAGGACATTAACCCTATCCATACGCCCTGGGGTCATTTTGTACCCTCGGGGTTGTATTCTTAACATTTTAGAATACTTCTAGTACGAAGGTCTCTTTGAAACTTTCAGTATTTTTCGAAAAGTCATTTGACACACTGCTATGCAAAGTGTACAGATCAGATTGACGAGTAAATTTCCACTTTGGAAAGTGGTTGCACAGAGTTCCCCACGTCGTATGGATACGATAGTAAAACACAACGTACAGGTAGGGTTAAGCATTATAGTATGCTATCCACATTCCTCGTGTATTTGCATTCTTCTTTTGTTAAATACTGATACCCGGTTGCAGCTAGAAGACTGAGGACTACTTAGCAGTGTGGCTTAACTATTCCTCAGAAAACACCAGAAATGAATCCCATAGTCTGTCAATAGCACATCTACCCCTTGTACTCGCTGGTCAGAATTTGCATGTGCAGGTCAGTGTCTTTCTTTTTAGCTTCTACTCTTTCATCAAGTGTCAGATGGGGTCTAGAGATTTTCATGATTCTATTGTCTGTTTCAAGAATGTTGTATAGAAAGAGTTTGATGTCTTTTGGTTTGTTTCAGGACAGTAGCAAGGCATTTCGATACTTTTCACTGGCATCAGATCAAGGCTCTGTGGACGGTCAACTTCAGCTGGGAATCATGTACTTTAGTAAGTCTTTCTAAATTTTGTGGGCTGGGATGAATTGAAAGGGGGTTGTGTGTGTGAGGGTGGGTGGAGGGTAAGATAATATTCTTTGTGTTTTAGATTCATAACTTGCATTTTCTTTCACAAAGTTCCTTGAATCATTTCCAAGTGTCTTTTGTCCTTTTTCAGCAAAAGGATTGTGTTTTTCTTTTATTAAATGTTCATTATTTATGTTATTGCTTTATTACTTGCTTGCAGTGTAATGAGTGTCTGATTTATGTGTCAGGTGGCAACGGTGTCCGTAAAGACTACAAGATGGCCGTCAAGTACTTCACAATGGCCTCGCAGAACGGCCATGTTCTGGCCTTTTTCAACTTGGCTCAAATGCACGCAACAGGCACTGGTGTTCTTCGCAACTGTCACACTGCTGTAGAGGTGAGAGCACAGAGGAATGTACTCATTTGGCACTACAGTAACTAGAAACCTATCTGGGTAGAAAAGAAGAAATCTTCTATAGGTTTTCAGAGGAACCTATGTCTTGAGTGTATTCTTGGAAATGTTGCAAAGTTTGATTTTTGTCGCAAAAAGTAAAAAATTTGATATTTTTTTACTTACTCTTTTTTAGACTTTGAGAGAATTCAAGTTTTTAGAAATTGATGCTCTTAGATGAGTCTTTATGTTGGAATGGTGTCATGATACAAGTTGAACTTGAACCCATTCCCCTACTTTTGTCTTTGATAGATAATCAAGAGTGCCATTATGCCTCAGATTGTTTTTCAGCAAATGAATGGTGTGATTTTACATTTAATAGGAAATTTCGTGCTAATTGTTATGTGAACTACTAAATGGTTTTTACTTTTTTTCTTTTTTCTTTGGATGTCTTCATGATTTAGTTGTTCAAAAATGTGGCTGAGCGAGGTCGTTGGTCGGAGCAGCTTATGGATGCTCATCGCATGTACCAAGACGGGAGTGTCGACACGGCCATCGTCAAGTACATGTTCTTGGCAGAACTTGGCTATGAGGTTGCACAGTCCAATGTGGCATACCTCCTAGATACAGGTACCTGCCACATTGTTTATGGATAGGGAAGGGAAAGGGAAGGAAGAACTGAAATTTTTTCCTGATTCTAAGCATGTTAGAGTTTGATGGTGTTTTTGTTAATTTATAATCATAACACTTCTAACATATCTGTATCTAGGTCGAGAAAATAGTCAGTTGCTCTCAATATTTTAAAAGAATGTTTTGAAAAGCTGATGTGGTGAAAGACAAGCTTTCTCTTCAGTATTGTGTTGATCATTATTTCATGCCCCTGTGGCACATGGCTGTCTACCTTCACATAAATGAAAACCTTAAGCGACAAAATTTTTCCAAAGAAAGCTTCTGTGGTTGTTGGCAAGACTGGTAAAAATCTTCTTACAAGGGAAAGAGAATGTTGAAGTTGTTGTCTTCCAAAATTTGTGAAATGCTCCAAAACATGTTTATAGAAAGTTTTTGTGTGGTATTCTCAGGGACAACCACCAAGTTCAGCAACTACGAGACCCATCAGAGAGCTCTGCTACAATACTCCAGGGCTGCATCGCAAGGTCAGTGTTGAATCTCATCATGGGCAGTGTCATATTGTGTGAGTGTTGTATACATATAATCAGACGACCGTGGCTGAATATATAGTTGGTACATCAGTTTTCTTTCCAAATACAAAACACTAGACAGAGTACATGTAAAGCAATTGTTCTGATTCTTTACCTGGAGTTGATTATTTTATTGATTTTTTAATACTTTATACCCCCATGGCCACAATTTAAGGGCAGGCTACTGCAATCATACTTTTCATTCAAGGCCCACTAGGACTGAATGGAATACGATATCCCAGTGACAGATAGCGATTTGATGAAATAACTGACCCACTCAGGAATGGAACTCGTCTTCTGAATGCGATGGTGGAGAAAGTTACCATTACACCAAAGATGCCAGTACACTTTCCACGTGTTAGATTGCCTTTTGAAACAGATTGCTGAGATAGGCGTATTAAATAGCAGGGCTTGATTTATGGGGTGAACTTGGAAGCAAGACAACCTTTCTGAAAACAATTAATTTTTATAGAAAATTATAAATGCTTATAGACAATACAAGGTGACTGCCAGGCCCCGGGAATTACTCGGGAATTAGAAAAAATCACCGCGACCCTGGAATACCTCGGGAATTTGAGGAAATCTGTAAATTGCCCCAGTTGTCTGAGAGTACGTTTCACGCGAACAGGCGGCTATGGCGGCAAGTGGAAGTGTATGTGACGTGTGTGATACTGAAGCTCAATCGCGAAAATCAAGATCTGCTTTTGCTTTCTTTACCACCCAGAAATTTGCCGGTAGTAGTCTGATAACGCAACTTTTGTAACATGCAGGTTGTGCTGTCACTTGCGAAAAAAAAAAAAGAAAGAAAAGAAAGTTACACAAGCGTCTTGTTGGGCTAGCCATTATGACCGTCCGGTGAACCTGCGCGTTTCCATCACATTGTGAGTGCCGGCGATGGTTGGGGTCACCAAAGTTCATTCAAAGATTCAAAGTCTGAGCGCTACGAAGTATAATATGACTCCGGAATGAGGGGGGGGGGGATAATTGATTTTTTTTTTATGCACTCGAGAGAGGGGGAAGGGGTTGAAGACAACACTGGATGGCAAAAACTGAACTTTGAAGCAAATTTTAGTATTTCGAATTTTGATCACTACTAGAGCTCTCTGCAAAGGCACGTTGGTGCAAGCCTTGTGTGGAATCAGGATCCGTCATACTCATACCTTGTATGCTGTGTTTTTTTACTAAAGGGCTCGCGTTTCATTGGATGGGTGATAGTAAATTAATCTACATGTATTGTAAATCTATATTTTAGCGTTCTGATTCGCAGATTTTCAGCGTCACTGCTTCTTGCCCTCCCACAGTTCTTACACCTCTCACACTGAATAGGTCTACTTGAGCCTTTCAAGTTATTACTCTACTTTGAGTTTGAGCAATGGTTTTTGTCTTAAATCTTAACAACCAGACTGGTTCTTTACAGTCGATATCCTGGTTCTAGGCCTTTTCTCAGGCTCAAAACAAGATTCATTTTTACATAGTTTATGTAGGCGAATACGATGAGGAGAAAATATAAGTAAGTAAGAACAGACTGAAATACCTAAGTCACACAGTACCCCAGTGCCACACTGATATGTTGTTGACTGGATATAGGGCCTAATGTACCTACATGCATGTGTGTGTGTGTAAATGGAGTACATGCTGTCTTTGTTATATAACGTGCCCCTGGAAAATGGATGAGCCCCCAAGGAAAATTGAGGAAAGGCTCAGATTTTGTTTTAGAATCCTTTCAAAAGCTCTTTGTGTTATATGATGCTTTTATTTGTTCATTTCAAAACATGGTTTTGTACTCTTACTTTTATTTGTACCAAGTGTTATCTGTGGAAAAATGTCTTTTGTCATCCACATGCTGTCATGATATTAGTTAATGTTTTATGTTATGGTGTCTCCTCTTCCAGGCTCTACCCATGCACGCCTGAAGATGGGAGACTATCATTACTATGGCCTGGGCACAGAGGTGGACTATGAGTCGGCAGCGTCTCATTACCGCATGGCCTCCGAGCAGCAGCACAACGCACAGGCCATGTTCAATCTGGGCTACATGCACGAGAGAGGTCTAGGTCTGAAGCAGGTATTTAGTTCTGCTCTCTTTTTTACCTGCTCTCTTCTCATTTAAGTTACACTTGTCTTTTTTGTGCAACTAGTGACACGTGCAAAGATAAGAGTGCTAAGCACTTTGGACTTTTGAAACCAGCAAATACCATCTGTACATCCTAACTTTGTGAACAATGAAATGTCTCATTGATACTGAAGCACAGAGATAAGTGTCACAAAAATGTTTGTAGAGTAAGGGTGAGGCATGTGAAGGGGTAAAGTGCGTCACAACATGGTGGAGTCAGACACCCATCAGTCTTTGAGTATTTGAAGTTATTGATATCATCTTAAAGCTTGTTCATTTGTCTTGCTTTTAATGAAAAGTACCCATTTCTCTTGAATATAAGTCGAGATACTTTCGGTTGAAAGAGGCAGGGTCACCTGGTATTGGAGGTAAATATAGCAAGAAAATGACCACCAAAGTTTTGTGATTTCCAAAGCTGGAGTTTACTTTTTTGTGTGTGTGCCTTTGATCATTTTTCATTAAGATCCACACAGAGATTTGTTTTTAAATAGGCATAAAAGGTGTTGAGACAAAAATAAACAACAACTTCGATGAAAATAAAGCAACGGGCAAAAGAAGGTCAGTTTCTCTAATTATATCAATTTGACAAACGCTTGATTTCACCATGATGCCACACAAATGTCACTCTATTTATTTATGCCACTTAAGGACGAATTTTGTTCAAAGAGTTAAAATATGTGCTATCCATTAGTACATTTTTTTAAACATTGATTTATACTTGTGCCCATAAAGTTTTTTTGCCTGTTGCATCCTTTTAGTGGGTGATTAATAATATATTGGCCCTCTATAGCACCATCCTGGTGTAATGATGAATTTGACCATTCAGTGGGGGGGGAAAAGTCAGCAATAAGTATACATAAGAACTGCTTCACCCTATTTTTATATCCAGCACTTAAATGTGTTTTGTGGGTGGTTGGCGGGTGCTCTGGTATGGTTTGCTCCTTCTTTCCTATCAAACATCTATCGTCCTTATCTCCCCTCCTTCTTTTTTATTTTTGTTGCTCTCTTGTAACACCTCTAATCTTCTGACGCTCATTTGACCTTATGCAGTTGCGAGCGCCGTAAAAGCAGCTACTGAAAATTTTTTTAAAAACTAATTGTGTTTTCCAATATATTTATTTCTATCATCCAGGATGTCCATTTAGCCAAACGTTTCTATGACATGGCTGCAGAGACCAGCATTGATGCTCACATACCAGTGGCCTTGGCTTTATTCAAGCTAGGCATTTTCTATGGACTAGATGTATTTAGTAAAGAGGTAAAACTTTTATTACAACTGTTTATCAGTTTTCACTTCCATTCCATTTTTCTCTTACAGATGTAAAGCCTGGTATTTTGGGGGATGACAGAGAAAAAGTGTCATGCAGCTCAGTCATCACATTTTCAATCATACCAGGTCTTAAATATTATGTACTTTAAGAACTAATTTTTGAATGGTCATGTCTTCATTTGACTTATGTTATACATACTATTTCTGTCTACAAAGAACTTTGTTTGAATGAAACTACCTCTCAGACTGTGGAGGTTTAGTAACTCAACAGATATGATGTTTGTGGAAAGTTCAATCTCCACCAGTGACTGTTTTTTACGGTTTCTTTCTCACATTTTCTACATCCCCCTGATCCTTGGATAGATTAGGTTGATCACTAGTCTTCTGAGATAAGGGTGAACAATTTCAGAGGCCTTGTGTGGAAGTTTCATTTTGTTATAGATCCCTTGGCAGTTCGAAAGTGGCGTTTTGGGCTGCAAATGGTGCAAAATCCAAAAATTTATTCCTACCCAAAACTGAAGCCACTTTTGTCAGTGTAAATTCTAAGAAAATGGCTGCTTGTTAGGCAACGGATGATTTTACTTGCCTTGCCATCTACTGAAAAATCACTGGGGATGAAAATTTAAAGTCGTTTGCCTCTTGAATTTTAGCAGGGTTATGCAGAAGAAGAATAGTTCTCAGATTAAATGTGATTTTAAAAATAACTTTATACTGTTCTTTTTTGGTCTAAGTTATATTGTACATATAACTTATATCTACAAGACTTTTCTTGGGAATTATCTTTCAGAAAATTGTCAGATATCACAATGACTTTTTTCAAAAGGATGTTGTAATCAGTTTTCTGGTAATATTTGGAGAGGGGGGGTTCTCTGTGTACCTTTGACATTGTGTGAATACTTTGCTTCCTGTTCTTTGTTCCTCATAATTTGTGCTCTGGGGATGCAGACAAGTAATTAAAGTAATAGTCTTGCTGACAATATAAGTGATTATCTTTATGAGCTAGTCACAGAGTGGGCAATAGTATGAGCATTCATCTGTGAAGGTGATTTATCATATAGGAATCACATCAGTGATTGTGCTTTCAACCATGACCCACTAAAGACACTCAAGACAACAGAATTTTACCATGTTTAACATGTATTTACAGACGCTTTATAAAAACATTTTATAGTCACATTTCAAAATAGGTTCCAGTGATCGAAAATTAAGGCGAGTTACACAACTGCCTTTGCTCTGAGGTCCATCGTTGTTGTCCTAGGTAAGCGCATCTACCAGTAACCCAGTTACTTGAGTTAGCATCAGCAGGATTAAGAAAACTCCTCTTTGTATGTATGTTCATTCTGATTTTAATTTTCTACATTTGTCTTCTTTGACGAACAATTCTCTTTGTTCACAGTTTGAAGGAATCAACTCTGTTTTGAAACTGCTGGACCCCGTCCAGTTCCTGGGACCAGAGTGGGACCTGTACCTGGCCTCCGTGTTTTCCTTAGCCCTGGGCATAATATTCTTCCTGCGGAGGAGATAGCAGTAGATAATATTGTTCCCCTCTTTGTACGTGCAGACTCGATAATTGTTAACAATTTCTGCTTGAGTATGCGGGTTTGGAAAAGTTCTCATTTACACCTATTTGTGAAATGATATTTTTTGTTTGTGAAAAGACATGTCTGTAGTAATAGAAGACCGCACACGAGATGTTATCATGATTTTACTGCCTTCCATGCCTAGCCAGATGTAATGTTGCATAAATCTTTATTTTTTCTTATTTTGTTTGTCCTTTGTCTCCATATCAAACATAATACCACAGAAGTGAGTACTGTTTCATTTAAGCTGAAATTTAAAAATTTTTTCCTGATAGATCACTTTGAATGTCAATACTCAAAGTAGCTGTGTCAACGCATTTATCAAACTTTAATCTTGTGAATTCCATTTTATGATACTTCTTGTGCTGAGTTTGATGAGATACAATGTTTTAACTCCGATACACATCTTTATAATCTCTGTGTCAAATAGACACCTTTATTTTTACTGGGTGAAGACAACATTGAGGTAACTCTGTTGAAAGTGAGGTGTCACAGCAACATGGACTGGTAAGATGTGAACTCTCACATAATGGAATAAATACTTTCAATGCAGGGCATATTTTGTGTAAATGGTCACTTTTGACCTCCTCACACTTACAAAATGCTTGATTTGTCTTAAAGATTCTGTCCTGTCTTGCAACTAGATAGATCCTTGGTTTTCATTGAAGGAAAACATGGTCTGGGTGGTTTTGTTTTTAGTGAAATGTCTCAGTGATGAGGTTAGCGATGCAAGTAAGTACTGGGGTAAAAATTGCATGTCACAATTTTCTATTTTTGATGTCTTTATTGAACTATTCTATTGTTTGGCTAGAGACATTTAGTCCACCAATACTATTTCTATAAAAAAAGGCCATAGTGACATGCTCATGACTCACTTAATACAGCTGTACAGAGATTGAACAGCAACAGTTCATAGTATTATGCGGAAAAAATGCAGTGCCAACAATAATTTGTTTGTTGCAAACACGGTTTTCCCTGGGGTCTACATTTAATGAACTCTTGAAAGAGTAAGATAAAAACTTTTCGCGCAATGTACACATTTTGAATACCGGTATAGCTTGTGTCTCGTTCGCACATTCCCAGCAGCATGTTAGTATCTTTCCGACAGAATATGTTTCTTCAAAGGTCAGGAATGTGCCGTGCCTTTATGGTGCTGTTGTCAGATTTCCCAGCATGCCAATATTATTTAAATAAACCTATCGGGGCGTGTTCTCCTTGTTTCGCCATTATGACACGTTAGCTTTATGACCATGATGAGTTCTTGCAGCTAGTTCAGGCTGCATAATCTATATTTGTGACTGCACCGGTGCGAAAGTACATGTAACTAATTTTTGTTTCTGTCGGGGTTTTGTCTCCTGTGTTGTGGTAGAAGACAATTATGTGGTTCTTTTTGTCTCAGCATGTCATTGTTTTGACTACTGGGGATTTTCAATATATGGTAATTTTCTTATGATTGATTGGGAAGGGGGGGGGGGTCAGAGCAGTAAAATTTTAGATTCTTTTGTGAAAGCATGAGGTTTTGTGCACTTTTTGTTTTTAAATAATATTTATCTGTGATACAGATAGACTTTAGCACTTTCAAATTTCCATACTTTGATATCTCGTTTTAATTAGTCTTATCTGTTTATGTCAAAGATGGTTTACATCAATGTATAGAAACAAAGCAAAAATTCTCTCTATTTTTTAAACCATGAAATTGGATCTTGTTGCATCTTTGGTACTTTTAAAAGTTTATTGTTGCTTTTTTCAAAAAAGAGATCCGCAAATGAAAAGGAATCAGCAGTGTGGACGGCGTTCATGCCTACGTACAGGTTGTTTATGATGTACAGTAGTCTCCGCCTAAAAGCACGCTCCGCTCAAATGCACGCTTTCGTCATCGGACGAGTTTTTTTACTATATAATTTAGATGTACAAACGCTCGGTCACTCCTTCTAAACGCACGCTCCGATCCGCGAAACACGCCGACAAGTTATTCTTGGCAAGGGTAAATTTTCACTACAACCTGCACAGCCTGCAAATGAAAAGCCTAAAATTTACTAGAAAACCCGATATTTGGTGAGAGTGCCCCTCCCGCCGTACAAAGAGAGTGATGGACAGCGTTTACACACACCCTACTTTTCACTGACGCATAAGTGTCGGTCTAGGGCTGGTCGGTTATGTTGGGGGTTGGGGGTGGAGGTGGGATTAGGGGGGGGGACTGAAATGTTTTTTGATTGGTCACTGGAAATGTATCTTTGAGAGAAGGTTTCTAACTGGTGTTTGAGTTTGAGTAACTGCGTGTAATGTTTAGTTAGATCTAGATGTAGATCTAGGCCTGATGCCTTTGTATTCTTAACTCCTGTCGGGGAATCCTTCACAAAACAGTCACCTGTCGTCACATTATCTGCCAAAATGACCCCCTCCTCCAACGGAGATCGCTAGAGTAATAAGGAATTGAGATCACTGCATCCCTTCCTCCCCATGCAAAGGTTCATGTAAACGCACGCTCTGTATAAACACACGCTAAGGAGCCCTCCCGAGCACCGTGCGTTTAGGCGGAGACTACTGTACTCTCTTTTGAAACGGTTCTTATTTTATCCAAGTGTCCTCACTGTGGCAAGTAAAAGCATTCTTTTTGTCTGTGTCTCTTTTTTGCTGTCAATTGTAACTATCTTATGTACAGAAACTGTTTACCCTACTCAAGTGTCTCGTTAAGTTCTTATAAGTGCAGCTGTGTGTCTGAGGATTTTCAAATGTTGGATGTCACAAGGTTTTTCTGATCTTATGACAGTCCCATACATGTAACAGACAGATGTGATTCATGCTAAGACATGAAGTGTTTGTGTAACTGATCTTCATATAAATGTCTAAGTTATGTCCCAATCTGATGACAGTCTGAGGTAAGCTCCCATTTTTTGTTTAAAAAATTCTGCTGGGCTAAAATGATTTTGTTCTGGCTGTTGAGTGTTGGTGAATGTGTTGTGGTCTACAGACATGTGAATGGGCAGACTGTATCTGTTGACTGTAACTGGGAATTACAGTCTAGCATTCACATAGCGAAATTCGCAGGAAGCAAAAATCTTTCCAGTATGTACATATTTCACTATGTATTTAACTACAAAGAATATACTTGCGTATATAAGAACAAATTTTGAGACCCGAAAATCAGTTTGCTATGTGCATGCAAGACTGTATGTCTGTAGGCTGTGACTACAGGTTGTGTCTGTGGACGACTGTGTGGAGTGTTGGGTGCTGGTGTTTGAAATTCTTCTTGATATGAAATATGTTCTCATTAAATTTATGACGATGTCCAGGAAATTTTGTTCGCTGTTTGTTTTCTTTCTTTGTCTCTTTCTATCAGCATTGGAGGGCGTTGTTATTGTTAGTAGGTTTTATCCATTTCTTGGTTCCTTGACATTTCTGTATTGTTTCTTTTTTATGCACTTTTTCTGTGTCCAGTCTTCTTTTCCTGACATCTCTGTGTGAGTATTCAGATGTCACTTCTAGTGTTGTGCTCAGACCCTTCCAGTCAGGACCAACCTGAGATGTTTTGGGCACATGCCAGTAAAAAAACGATGGTACTTGAATCGAATTGTCATCTCTGCACACAAGACAAAGAGCTTTGCCTTTACACGACAGTCATAGTGAAGCCTTAGACAACATCGAAGTCAAGTACATGGATAGGTGTCAGGAGCTGTGAATCATTGGGAACCAGTTTAGAAGATTTGGTGAAGAGGGAGAGGACGGGTGTGAAAGATGTGGGCACACAGTACAGCAAAGACATGTATCTATATTTGCAGGCGGCTTGGTGGCTGCTCATGTGTGGTCTGCTTGTTATATTTCTTCTTTTTGGTGCTAGTATAGCAGTAATCTGCATGCTGGCAAAATGTGGCCGTCATCATGCCAACTTGATATCCACAACAAATCTTCTTGGGTGGTTGGCGGATGCTCTGATGTGGTTTGCTTTTTCTTTCCAATCAACCATCTGTCGTCCTTATCTCTCCTCCTTTTTTGTGTTTGTTACTCTTTTGTTATACCTTTAATCTCCGGCACTACATTACCTTATTGGGTTGAAAGTACCAAAAAACACTTACTAAAATTAAAAACATCAGCAAATCCACATATTGGTCGCGTTTATGCACAAGGGGGCCATCCCGAAAAATCCTGTTTTGAGAAAATCGAAGGTAAAGTTTTTGAACCCTTGTTTAGTTTCTTTAAAAGACAAGAAGAGTTTTCTCTATAACCAAACAAATATACCCACCAATGACTCCAAACTTCTCCTATAGGTAGGGCAATGCTCACTTTTGATGTAGGTCAAGATTTTTGGAAACCCCCGAAATCTAGGTTAGCCCACTTGTCCTTACACAAAAGCGACCATATATTAACATCTTGATTATATTATGAAATTCATCCATGTGAAATTATGTCATGATCACAAGAGAATGTTTTAAATTAAAATATGATAATCAGCATCATTATTATTTTTAAATATATCATAATGACTTGAGAGTATGAGGTAAGATAATGATTAGGATGAAAATTATGTTATAAATAATAAAAGTATTAAAAACAATGGTTATGATAATATCAATCAATAATAATAATACAATGATGACAATGGGACTCACGGATCACATTTATGTGGTACGTTTCCACCTGATGAATGGTCAATGTGTTTTACAGCAAAAGATTATATAAACAAATACACGTCTTATTATTTGTCAAGAGCAGAAAGTACAAGTACAGGACTGCACATAGCCATCTCGTGAATCATAAATAAATGCACCACTATTTCGAAGAGGAAATTTGAGTCACACACATCCGCTCTCACACACACACACACACACACACACACACACACACACACACACATCTATCCGTCCATCCATCCATCCATCCATCATTATCTAAATACATTAATATGCATACAAAGAATATCAAAGACACAATATTACACCAATACAGATAATTTAACAAAAATGCTATTGCTATATTGGTCGCCACTTTGTAGCACACTGTTTTCTTTTAATTTGCTTTATTAGTTAAATTTGTTGAGTCTTGCTCAAGGACACACCCCAGTGACCACCCACCTAAACCCAGTGTCATCGACACTCGCATGACATGACTTGAGAGTCTGAATCCACTAACCACTCGACCGCTGGAGTCCCCACATAACCTGCACACACGTGTGCACCGTTGGTCTGACAAGATTACATCTACTTGGGAATAACCCTCTCCCCTCCTTTTTTTCTACCCCC